GTCGCGAGCTCGAACTATGCCTTCTACCGCGGCATCGGCGCGGATCTGGGGCGGACGGACCCCGTGTTCCGGCGGCGGTGTCGGGAGGACGGCATTGACCCGGACAACGACCCGGTGGCCGCGTCGACCAAGTGGATCGACTCCGTGTGGCACGGGCGCGCCTGGTCGTGGGAGAAGATCCCCTGGCTCATGGCGCGGTGGCGCGAGATCTCCGGGGGACGGCCGTTCGTGATCAAGGGGATCCAGTCCGTGGCCGATGCCAGGAAGTGTGTTGAGTATGGGGTCGATGGGATCGTGGTGAGTAACCACGCCGGTCGGCAGGTGGACGGCGCCATTGCGAGTCTGGACGCGCTCGAGAATATCGTGGATGCCGTCGGGGACCGGATCTATGTCATGTTTGACTCCGGGGTGCGCGGCGCCAGTGACGTCGCCAAGGCGCTGGCGCTGGGCGCCCGCTTCGTCTTCGTCGGCCGGCTGTGGGTGTGGGGCCTCAGTATCATGGGCGAGGAGGGCGTGCGCCACGTCATGAAGTCGCTGCTGGCCGACTTCGACATCCTCATGGCCGTCGCGGGGTTCAATCGCGTGGAGGACTTTGATCGCTCGGTTCTAGGTATGTATCCGTGACAAAAAGGTGTGGGATGAAACGAAAAAGCTGACAGTTGCGATCAGAATCATACCCCAAGTCGTACACTTTGATACCGGATCGGGTTCTATAGGCTGTTTGCCATGGTGTAAGTGGACCCTTCCGCCACGCTGTATAGATAGAGCACATAATCGTGGTGAGGGTTTCTCGGGGAAAGATGAAACAATAGCTCAGAATTTAAGGTTTTGGTCAGGAAGAATAACTCTATTTGTAGACTAATAATAGACTACCACATGGGTTATCTTCGGAAATGCGTGTGCAGAGGCGCAATCTACTACAGTAGATGAATGAAGTGAAGTTTTCAATGTTCCCAGTATGTGCAAGAAGGCCAAAGTTTGGTTGGTTGTGGAAAAGGCCGTCTACAGCAGAACAGTGCATAAGACGACCACAAACGCAGGCAGGTAGTATCTGGAGCCCGATTGGGTTGTTGCGCCGCTAGCGACCACGCCGGTGGAATTGGTCGAGCTGGAAGATGCAGTAGACTTGGTGGACGAGCCAGAGGATGAACTGCTGGTCTTGCTTGAGCTGGACGATGTGGTGTTCTTGTTGTAGGCACGGGCCGCCAGACCAACCCGCGCCGCGTCGAAGTCGAACACGGTGTAGACGTTCTTCAGGAAGACGTCACCCAGAAGCCAGATGTTATCTCCGAACAGGTCGTAGCTGACAATCGTGGAGATGCAGCTAGAGTTGTACTCGGACCCGATGTAGTCCTCCGGCGAGATCGTATAGTTGACCCCGGAGAAGGCCACCTGGACCTCGGCAGTCGAGTTGCACGGAAGCAGGAAATAGTCGCCGTAGGCGGTAGCGTCCGGGATGAGCGCGTGCAGCGTCTTCGCGTCCTTAGAGGGGAGCATGGCGTACGATGTTCCCGTGTCGATGATGGCGGATTTCTTGGTAAAGTCACAGGCATCTCCGTTGACGTAGACATCGTCGACGGGGATGCGCCAATAGTTCCCCGATCCAATCACAGTGTCCGTGTACGAGATGTCACCGGTGTACTTGTCCTCGTCCACTCCCCCGATCGTGACGGTGCCATCCTTCTCGCCGCTCTTGGTTCGCGAGAGAGCGAAGCCAACGACGTTGGAATCGAAGTTTTTCTGGTCTGCCACAGCGTCCATGAAGGTGGCAGTGTTGTACGCAGTGTCGTTGGAGCGGCCGAAGCCCAGGATCCCGTCCATGGCGTATGATTCGAAGTTGTTCGAGGCGTTGGTGGCCAGTCCAAACGTGAATTGCACCTCCACGTCTGCAATCGTCACGTTGTCCGTGGCCAGCACGCCGCTCGCGGACCCGGAGCCGTAGCCGACACTCCACTCGGTTGTGGTCACATTGATACTCGAAGAGCTCGTTGCATCAAAGGTGTCGTGCATGCTGCAGGCTTTGGTGGTGCAGTCGGAGCTGAAGACCCACGAATTGGTGCCACCCGTGTCTAGCATCAGATAGAATTCCTGCGCTTCGGATCCAATCTTAACCACAGCGAAATAAGTCAGGTCATTGCCGTTCTGGTCGAGAGCAGCGGTATTGGGCCAGGAGGGCGTCTTGGATAGGACGATATCGAAGTCATTGCTGCGACGGACAGGGGCTCTCTTCACATCCAGCGTTATGGGCTCATCGGTTTTGGTCTGGCCTTGGCTTTTGGCAAGTGCATCGCTCAGTGATTCCCAGGGCAAAAAGCGACGAGACGGGGTGTGCTTTGCGGCCGGAAGATCGAGATTGAATTCATAAGGGATGAAGGCGAAGACCGCGGTCCAGATACAAGCAGCGACAAGAAGACATCTGGTTTGATGCATGATGCGAGCACGATTTAGAATCCCTGAGAGACGACCCTGAGACTCATTTGCAAGACGGCTCGATGTTAATCAAATGCCGGAAGCTTCGGTTGTACTCGGAGTAAAGAAAGAAGGTTCAGTTGCGATGCAATATGAGAAGTTACAAGAGTATGCTAGACCACACAATACTGTTCTGGATTAGATAAGTGAGGACAGTGATAGACTCGTGGATTTCTAAATCCGAAGCAGAGGGGGAAAAGATCGACTCGCAGTCTGCAGTGAAACAATGAAGCAAACGAGAGGCTAATGAGCAGAACAGCGGAGAATAACGATGGGATGCAGCAGCAAGAGCGCAACTGCAACAACAAACAGCAAAAGAATGTACTGTACAGGGTGAAGAATAGAGACTGAAAAAGAAAGTGAAAGAGGATGAAGAAGAGAAGTGAATTGAATGTGGATGTGGATGTGGAGGGACAATCAGGAAACTACTTTTAGTTGATGCTCCGGATCCACTCGGCAGGTTTTCGGAGCGGGAGGACGGACTGCCACTGGCTGCCACTGGCTGCCGCCCTGCGATCCAGACCCAGATCTTTTTTTCCCCTGAGTTAGCCCACTTCAGTTCCAATTTCATGCACCCTGCAGTGAGTGAGTGAGTGCAGATACACAAATTGCAGATGACATGGAGCAATATATGTTCTCCCAATGTTGCGAGAATGCGAACATCCAATGCCCCAGTTGAGAGCCATTCGACTTGTATGTGAATATACTTATCAATCGCCTCCCACTGTTGCTGACGACGACCCCTTCAAGATGCGTACCACTGAGGGGTTCTGCACTTGGCCTGCAGTCGACCGTTCCAGTCACTCTGGGCTGCGTCACTTGGCAACAACAGTGGATCCCATCAAGTGTTGTTCCCAAGGCCCGAGCATAAGCAGAAGGAGATGATTCCTCATATTCATAATAATACTTATAACAATGCCAGTGCTGCTGACATGTCATCGGAGAATACAACTCATACCAGTCGCCAGTTGCTAGAGTCATCTACGGTACGCTCCGTGCAATCACAATCTGGCGGACAGCCAGATCTTCCTCGAGAACCACCGAAGACTCCGGGCCTGATGCTGTAGGCGGAGTGCTGACTGACGGTGACTGCCGTGCACTGCAAGGCCCAGCCCAGCACAGCCCAGCACACAGAGCCTAAACCGACCAAAGTTCTGACGTCTGGAAATCCTGCTGAATAAAGCCGTGCTGCCTGTGCGAGGGTGTTCGTCTTCTCAGCTCATCTGAAACATCACATGAACTGCGATCGCATTACTCTGTTTGGATTGATTGAGCCGAGACCCCACCACCGTTTGAAGGTCACACAAGCACATCGCATCGCCCTCTGCCTCTCGCTGATTCCACCCCCAACGCATGAACGAATTGTTCTCGTGAGAGGGGAACACAGAACGAGGAGTTGAAGAGCTGTCGATTGGCCCAAGGAGTTCGACAGCAGTCCCCCGCCGGGAAGACTGATGATGATGACCAAAGTCTGAAAAAGGAGAAACACTCGTAGAAAGGGAGCGTAGGTGGTTTTCTAAATAAAAATAAACTGTCTCAATTATCTTCAGGTAGGCTGTAGCCGAGGTAGCTAGCCTGGACCATCGCGCTAGTCCTATTTTAAACCTTAGACTTGGCAGGCAGGCAGGCAGGCAGGCAGGCAGGCAGGCACTGTCAACAATGGGCTACCTAGTATCCTCCATCCGTTTGCTCCTCTACACATTGACAAAGTAACCCAACAAACGAGAGTACTTCCTGTACACTATGCCCCATCAAGATACACAACTTAATGCACAAAGCACATTAATGCACAACCTCCACCCCCTCCCACAAAAACGCAAACAGACCCAGCGATGAATCGACTGCCGGCGCACCTCCCCGGGCAGCGATCAGACGATCCCCCAACGAAGTACGGAGTATACTCACCCTCACTCGCCCGGAGCACCCTGCTCCTCTCCTCACGGTAAACATCATGTGTTCCAACGACGTGGGTGGGTAAGTTAGTGGAAGAACACAATTCCCAAACCCCTCGGGAGATATCGGATAATCTTTGATGCTGGGGGGGGGAGTCATTCCCTTCCACCTGGCCGACATCATGGACTTTCCCTTTCCACCCGAGATCGACCTCCTATGGTGGTATGTACATAGAAGAGGTTCCGCATGCTTAAAGTTTATCCCTCACTGCCGAATGCCGAGGGAGGCTTTTCTTTTCCCACGTACCTTCGGGTTGAGAAAATATGGGGTGTGGGAACCTTTGGTCGGACTTGGGTGGTACTTCCCCGGCGGCGGTGACTCAATTTCTCTGGGGTAACTGACTTACTGGCCCTTCGAGAAGGATTGGTTCGGTTCATCGGAGCTTTTTACTATGTATGTGCAGTGTCTATGATCATGCGTATGTGAAATACTGGTCTGTTATGTGTCGCGTGGGCTGGATGATGGATGGATTGATTGATGTTCTACATTATTTTAGGGAATGTTGTGGTGACAGATTAATTCAATGCTTAGGTATAGATCTGTCATTTTTAACACTTTCAGCTTGATCTGGTGATAACACTATGACTATGAAAAAACACAACACAACAAACATCACGCATCGCTAGAGACAATCACGACATTCTGAAAATGGGATAAATCGATCACCGGGTGGGACGCATCACTTTCTGACAACAGCCGGCTGTCTACCTAAGATGTCATCCACCACCCCCGTCCACAGCTCGCGGAACACACCAGGCTCCTTCTGCTGGGTCGACTCCGCCCCGAACCGGGACTTGCCCACCGCCTCCGTCAGCGAGAACGGGTCGATGTCCACCGAGTGGTTGTCGACGACCTCCGTCATCGGACTGGCGGAGACATCGGCTGCCCCGCCGGAGACGGTGTAGATCTGGGGCTTCATGGGGGAATCCGCCACGGCCGCGCTCTGGTGGGAGTAGAAGTCGGGGACAATCGGGAATTGCGGATCGGCGCGAGCGGCCGGGCCATCGAGCTCCGCCAGTGAGGGCATGTAGGCGAAGTCGACGGTGGATGAGTCACCCACGGCCTTCATGGACCGGGAAGTGTTGAATTGACGGCTGTGGGTTTCCCTGTTTGCACACGAGAAGTCAGTTCCGAGGGTTCCCAGTTTTACCGAGGGAGTGAGAGAGAGAGGGGTTTAGGGGGAACATACTCGGAACTAGAATTGCCGCTGATACGGCGCATGGCGATGCTGAAGGCGCGGGATTGAAGGAAGTCATGGTTCTGGAGACGCTCGACAAGCTGGATTGAGAGTTAGGCGTGGGTTCAGTGTACGTCCCTTCCATGGGCACGGTGTAGGGTAGAATGATGAGTATGGCACTTACCTCGGCTTGCGTACCGCTGCTCCTCAAGGAGCGCTTCTGGCACTCATTCTTGAGATCAGCAATGGTGCGGCTGGAGTACAGAGAGGTTCGGTCTGAAACGTTGGCCGGTTGCGCCGAGTGGACGCCGGTAATGTGCAGGCCCCGGCGAGCGCAGGGGAGGGTGGTAGAGTGGTGCTGCGAGAGCAGACGAAGAGCACGCAGGGAATTTGAGCGAGGAGCTGCCATTGTGAATCGTTGGAGATAGCTGATAGATTCCTTGTAGGGTGATGGATGAGGATGGCAGGTGATATACTCGATACACCGAGATGGTTGAGTTAAGGTATGTAGGGTTATCGGATAAGGCAGCGCCAAGTATACAGTAAACAAGACAGGTAGGGTAAGCTTGGAGGAGACAGATGCGAGTATGAGTATATGTATTTACACAGTCACCAAAAATGAGGATGAAGTAAATAAGAGAGTAAAAGAGTAAGAGAGTAGAAGAGCAGAAGTAGAGAATGGGAGGGGAAGAGAGAGAGGAAGAAGAGGAGGAAAACGAGGGAGGAAGCCAAGTTTAAATTCCTGGGGAAGCTGGCTGTAGTTACTGCGCAGTACTTCGATGACCAGCCGTTTTGCAGGAACCCGTTGGGGGGGGAGGGGGGGGAGGGGGGTGAGTGAGTGAATTGAATGAGCTACAGCCTACAGCCCCGGCCCTACTGTAAGTTAGACCTTGCCTTACTTCACTTTGCTTTACTTTGCTTTAGTTACATAGTACTTTGCTTCTTCCCTTTACCCACCCGCCCACACAACTGGGGGACACACTGGGGGCGGGCGGTCTAGCCAAGTCTAATAGTGGTAACTAAGATGGGACCACCATCTCGCATCCCGACCGACTAGTATACTCTTCTGATGTCCTGATAGACAAAATAGGAAACCAGAATGCTTGGGCATTACTACTCTTGTCGGTGATCTTATTCGCATCTCTTCTGATTTGGGCCTCTCGCATATTTCTCTACCACTGCATCTTCCCATCAGGGGGGTCAGGCCTTGGAGAGTCGGTCTTGGAAGGTAACAACTTAATATTAATCATTTAACCAGTTGTCCCAGAAATGGGCAATGACAGGTCATGGGAGGGGTCAACCATGGTTAGCTACGCAAATTGACTTGACTCCATGCTCGGCCTGTTTCTGCCTATTTCTTTACATTTTTACATTACTTACAGACTACATACCACCCAAGACGGGACCTGCCCTCTGCAGATGTAATGTACTGTACCTCCAACAGGCCTGCATATTTGCTCTCGCTCACACCTTCAGGATTTGCTTGCCGGCGCTACAGAGGACGCTGCACAAGTATGTATGGAGCAGCCAATGAACTCTCCTGGGCGGACAAATCACTAACTTTCCGGTACACCGGGAGCAGAGAAGTCACTTAACTGTCAGTTGAATGGTTGGCTCCTTTCAGGGATGTGCTTGTTTCTCGAGGCAGATAGATTGGGGTCCCCTCTCGCATCCTCTCCCCACCTGCGGCATCAGCGGTACTGCCGGTGGACGTGCTCTGCATATCAGCCAGGACTTACTGAAGCAGTGAAGCTGATCCTTTCTGGTCTGGAAAGCTGGATTTTTTCATGATTACCCCTCCCGATGATTTTAAGATCATCAGGAGTCCTGAAACCACCTTTCTCCGCATCATCCTATCAAGACCAGCTTTAACAAACGCCCCGGACTTGGCGGGAGCATATGGAAATATTGGGTAGTGACTACAAACGAGATCCAGTACAAACGCTGAACTGCACTTGGCTTGTGAAAAACAGAAACGAGGGTAATACAAGGTTTCTTTCCAGTGTGGTAGTATACTCCGTTTGACTCTCACTCCGTAACTTACTCCGTGATAACTCAGATAGAGAGAGAGTGGAGAGGGGGGGGGGGGGGGGAGCCGTGACGCAATGCAGGATCAGCCAACAACATTCGAGAAGCGAGCTAGACGATTCATCAACTTAGAGTACTACTGGTACCTATCTAGTATTTACCGAGGATTCGTGTTCAGACAATCTGATGATGTTCCGCCCCACGCTGATTGGCAGGTCTGCAAAGGATCACCGCGATGGTCGCCAATAGTAACCTTGAACTAAGCACTCCAGCAGATGCCACCAAGCTCCTTGCCTGATTGATCTGGCCATCCACCGGGCGGGGGAAGGACGAGTCCCTCCTCCCAAGGCTCAAAGGCTGAAAGTGTTGAGCACTTGAAGAGGGCGGTGAAGTGGGCCGGGGACGGGAAGGGGGAGAAAATGGGGCACGTGAGGTCGATCTGGGTTGCCCGCCCGCCGCCACCGGCTTCCCCGGTGGATCCTCCAAACGCCTAAAATAAGGTACTCTGATATACGCTGTAGACCCCATACTCTACGGGGTCCTCCCTTCCTTTGATCCTGCTGGAATTCAGCAGAAGTTTGACCTGAGTCAGGTTGAATGGTCAAGGGAACCTTGCGCCACTTCACTTCTTGCACACTTGCTTCGGCCGGCAAGGCATCCCATGTCCGAAACTCCCAAGGGATTGATTTCATACCACTTTCCCTTTTGAGTGATCGGAGAGCCCTGGTCTTATCGCAGCTGATTCTGGTCAATCTGGGCCAGTATCAATTAGGAGCTTCCATGAGATACTACGGTGTAGCTCATTGATACGGCTTATCATGCCATCGTTCTTCGGAGCACGGAATGTGGACGGCGAATATTGTTTCCCTGTCAATCCCTCAGTATGCGCCGTGACTTGGCATTCGTGAGTCGCGATACGTAGGTATTCATGCATAGGCTGCTCATTACTTGTGTGATATGCGTGGAATCGGCTTCCTCTATCACGACGCATCCTGCATGCGATGACTAGTCAACCTGCGGATTGCTTAGTTTTAGTTCGGCGCTTCTGCGACTCGCCGGAATGGTCAGCAATGCACCCATGCACGCATTCATGTCCGAACAGTGATCTGTCAACTATGATGACACACTGCAAATCGCTTGGTCACGACGTTCTTCATACTTGGCTCTATGCTGCAGTGGAGAAAAAAAACTGGTAAGGGAAATCGATCAGCCGCGCAACCCGGTGGGAGTGTGTTATCTCCCCCTGATCGACTAATCACTATCAAAGGGTTCCCCCGCCATGAGCTTGGGGACGTAGCTTGCCTCCACTGCATGCGGTGCCCATACCAGGGGTGTAGCAACGTGGCTGGTCACTCATCGATTGCTCGCGAAGCAAGGATACTTCTGCTCAAATTTACCGATGGGTTTATGGAAAGTACGGACATAGATCGACTTTCCACAGAACCGATTGCGAGGAACGCAGCCAAGCCACTTTCCTGCCATGCGGATCATTTACCCGTGGATGTGCCGGGAACCGATGCTTATCGCCCGATTGATTACTGTAGCTTTGAAGCATGTAGGTGGATCAACAGGATAACATTGCCAGGGTAGGCTTATCCCCACAGTTCACTGCTCTCGGTATTGCATTCGGTTTCACTTTTCGCATCGCGCTCTACGAGTTCATCTCTCTCCCGGGGCAAGTCTTCAAGTCAGATTAGTCTATGATATCATTTTGAGCCAACGCTGTCTACTGCTGGTCATGATAGATGCTTCCCGCCTATATTCTTCCGACAGTTCAATGGTAGCACCTTTACATCTCGGGCATTTATTCGCTAGCTGGATATGCCTCAAAAGCTCCCGGACAAGTTTCGTCCGTCCATCGCGCATAGCAAGGGTCAATCGCTGCTCTGCACTGGTGTCTAGAGGTGTACCTCTGCGAACAAGGGAGACCGCAACATCTTCCCGTCCATACATGAGCGCCATGTCAAGCGCAGATGATCCATTGTGACGCGCAGTCACCAGCCTCGGTCTCAGATCCAAGAGACAATCGATTACTTCTATACGCGCAAGCTTGTACGCAGCCTGTAGTCTGAAAGCACAGTCAGGAGACTTCGGCAGGATCTCCGCTCCGTTCTTGGCGGCCAGGCGGAAAAAAGCCGCCCCCCAGCTTTGAGTGCAGCAGATGATGAAGGTGGAGTCATGAACGAATCTGGCCCCGGCCGCCAGCAGCATCTCGAGAACCCAATTCGGCGAACCACGGGCCCCACCTACCGCATAATCCAATGCCATCTGCCCCCCGGCTGTTGAGCAAACAACATTTGGGTCAGCATTCTCCTGTAGCAGAAGCTCCGTGATATGATACTGGCACTCCCTGATGGAGAGATGGAGCACTGGGACTGCGTCCAGGTCTATTGAGCTGGCACTCACCCCGGCTTCCAGGAGGAATTTGACGACGTCGAGTTGACCAGCGCATACAGCTTCCGCAAGAGGTTCACGGATGGATTTCCTCCACTCGGCATCTCCAGCGAAACGATGGATTCGTATCTCACCGTCGTCCCCATACGATATGCGCTTATCGTAGACTTCCTGAGGCGGGAGGGCACCGATTCTGGCTCTCTTCTGAATCTCGTTCCAAAGGAAGCCATATTCTTTGGGGAGTGAGAGGCCCAATCGCACGAGCGATGTGACATCCAGAAGCTTGATAATCTGGAGGTGCAGCTCTGGCGGAATGGTGAGGAATGTGGCAGGCTTGGGTGCCGCCACGGTGAACGTCCCTCGCTGAGCCATGATTGTCGTATTTGATGGAAAATAAAGAAGGATGCTAAAGTCGCAGGCGTAGAATCAAGATTACTATTCGACTTCAAGGTAGATACCCATGTCTGCGTCTTATAGATCGCCAGACCACAACGCCGCACACACAAACAAAGCAACAATGCCATTGTTCCAGGTTTCTGGATTGATTTGTTTCTTGGTTTGCGGTGGTCCATGCTCTGATTCCCCGAGCTGGGGGTCACATATTCTGAATGCATTGATGGGATGTGGCGATCATCGAGGTCGCTAGCCGTTAGTTAGTCATTGACAATAACGTATTGTTGGGGCCAAGTTTCCGTTGAAGGGACTTTTCAACAAGTTTTCTCTATTGCGTCTGTGGCCGCATCCCCGGTCTTTGTATGGATCCATTGTGATCTCGCTTTAACTTCGTGGATCAACTGGACTCCCAGGACGCTCAAAGACTTCACCATCTTGTGGGCACAAATTGCTTGTCATGGTCTCATGGTGGATCAGGCTAGTGCGGTATGACAAGCGACAGGTGGCAATTGATCCTGGTCCCTGAGGAAGCGATCACCGACAGGAGGAAGAAGATAACCAGCTCCGTGCGAGGGCATTGCAAATTTCGCCCAGGGTATGGCGCGAATGTGCCTTAAATGCTGTTTCTACCAAACCAGCAAAGGTCTAGGCTTCATTGCTCCGACTTCGGGAGCCGATGGGATGCAGAAACGATGCTTTATCCTCCTTGAAGTTTTGTCTTACTAATAATTTGCAGGCTGACAGACGCGCCTGCTGCCGATCGTCCGCGAGACCCTCGTCCGCGCTGTGATCTCTTACGGAAATTCCACAGTACCTTTACTCCTCATGGAATAAGAGCGATAGAACTTCCGCGCTACTCGCGGCATTGGCATGGCACTATAGCCAGCGACACTGTATTCGGTCTGTCTTGAGTGGAATGATCTCATTGCTTCCTTTTAGGAAGGATCATTGATGAATGCGAGCTCATTGACATTGACATAAATCAATGGGTCTTTCTGCCGGCTCAGTGCAATACCCCGCGGAGTGAGGGCATGACGCACTAACTAAGTGTTTCCTGAAGACAAATCCTTCGAGCTCAAGTATGCCTCCCAAGTTCCATTCTTCAAGGTGCCAGAGAGCGAGATAGCAAATGAACGAGAGAATTGCAACACATGGCAGCCGTGCGGGGATTATTGGGCGAGGAGGCATGGGCAACCACTGAAAGCGTGCCGGCAGCGCAGTCGATGATTGGTCTACCCGAAGTATACGCCGATGCGGTGGTTCTTTTGCCTTACCTAAGTAAGTTCTCACTGCCAGTCAACTGGACACTCTACCTCTCTCTACCTTAACTACTAACTAACTACTAACTACCTAACTACTAATCTTCCGCTTATCACCAAATGGGTCCATGTGTCCCCTTGATAGGGTCATAGCTCTCTGGAGACCATCTGTCCCAATCTTGGTCCCAATTCTAATTCTGTCGGAGATGGCGGGGTCATGCTCATCAGTGGGGCAACTGTTTGCCAAAAGAGATGCGCCTCAACTGCTGCAGAGCCGGCCGTTGATTCAAGAAGCCTTCCCTTCCCCTCCCATAGCAGGGAGCAATTGAGCGTCTAAACTTCGACTCAATTTCTTTCTCTCAGTCCAGTCCCTAAAGGAAGGCATCGTGTTTGTATAGTACAACTCATTGCCTTTGGTGCGCCATGAGTTTTCTTGCCAGCAGCAACCTTCCCGGCTCCTTTCTAGGACGCATGGATTGGCTACATGTCTACATTGCCTGCGCTGCATTTGCCGTCTGTGGATTCGTTGCGCTGATTCTGTTTGCGTCCCGGCAGACGCGCAAAGTTGACTACGACAGTGGCATCTTCACCTACCTGAAATTCATCTACGCCAGCTTCCTCAAGCCTCATGAGAAGAACGGAAGTGGACAGCAGGATGCACTGGAGAGCTTCTACAAGACCCAAGTATGCCAGCCTGTCATCTTGCCAGGCGTGGACGTGACTGACACAAGTCCTCCAAGGCCAGTGTGTACGATGCGACTCGCAAGCGCCTCCTCCGCGGACGCGAGGACATGCTGGGCCTTGTTGCTGCGCAATTGAAGCACAAGGTTGACAGCCAGGAGCTCAGAGCTGGTGAAGCCATCTGGGTTGATGTAAGCTCTTCCTTCAATGCCTTGGGCGTACACATTTGCTGATTGTTCAGATTGGTGGAGGCACTGGGTGAGCACCAATTGACGCTGTAGCCCCTCCGGATAATTCTAATTGCGTCGTTAGATACAATATCGAAGCGATGTCCGCCTTCCTCTCGGTACCAGACTTCTTCGCGCACGTCTATCTAGTCGATCTTTCTCCCTCTCTTTGTGAGGTTGCCCGCCAGCGTTTCCAGAGACTCGGCTGGAAGAACGTCAGCGTCGTCTGCCAGGACGCGAGGTCCTTCCGGTTGCCTGAGGAGGACAGGGTAGATCCGCGCTGCGAGACCACCACGGCGACGGGCGCTGATCTGGCCACCATGAGCTATAGTCTGTCTATGATTCCAGGTGGGTAGCCTCTCCCGCGTTAGAAGAACTATGCTGACCAGTGCAGACTACTACAGCGTCATTGACTCACTGCCTGCGCTGATCAAGCCTTCTGGCGTTGTGGGAGTTTGTGATTTCTATGGTATGCAGAGTGTGGGCTATGGTGCACATAGGATACTAATTCTGGCGCAGTGCAAAGCATCGTGGACGTCTCCTCACGCAATTACATTGGCGGCGCCTTCAATCGCCATGTGAACTGGCTTGGGAGAGCCTTCTGGCGTGCCTGGTTCGACGCGGACCGTGTCAGTCTTGAGGCTGCTCGTCGTGATTACCTTGAATACCGCTTCGGGACCGTGATTTCAGCCAGTGAGAGGAATTACCTGTTGGGTGGAATTCCCTACTACATCTTTGTGGGATGCCAAAAGGATTCCACTACACATTCCGGCCGCGATGCCATTGAAAAGCTCAATGCCTCTTTCACGGAGTCTCCGTACCTCTCTCCCGCGAAGCATCGGAGCGAGATAGATGCGGCTATTGTGAGCAGCACGCAGGAGATCAAATCCAAAGCGTACGAATCTGCCGTGATCAACCTCGGCTCCAACCTTCCTCTGCCTTCGTCATTCTATCAGAACCACCATTACCGCATCTTCTATGACGACCTCCTTCCCAAGCACACCCAGTTCGGCAACGAGTACATCTATGCCTTCAACTGGGAAGACCCCCGTGTTGACCACAAACTACTCAATATCCAGCGCGACGACGTCATCCTCGCCATCACCAGTGCAGGCGACAACATCCTGGACTACCTCCAAAAGAGCCCCCGCCGGGTGCATGCCGTGGACCTGAACCCCAATCAAAATCACCTTCTCGAGCTCAAGGTCGCCAGCTTCATTGCACTTGGCCACCGTGACGTCTGGAAGATCTTTGGCGAGGGCAAACACCCGGACTTCCGCCGGCTCCTCATCACCAGACTGAGCCCTCATCTCTCGAGCCAAGCCTTCCAGTACTGGCTCGAGCACACGCACGTCTTCGCCTCCTCCTCGGGCAAGGGCCTGTACGAGACCGGCGGCTCTCGCCATGCCATCAAAATGGTCCGGTACCTCTTCAGAGTCTTCGGACTCCAGTCCCAGGTCCAGCAGCTCTGCGAGGCGCAGACGCTGGCCGAGCAGCGCAAGATCTGGCCCAGGATCCGCGCCGTTCTAATGAGCAAGCCGCTGCACTGGGCGGTCGTAGGGACCGAATGGTTCGCCTGGAAGGCGGCCGGGGTGCCTCGCAACCAGCGCAACATGATCATCGACGATTTCTACAAGCGCAACGGGCTGAACAAGAAGATGAAGCAGGCCAAGGACGTCAGCGGCCAGTCGATCTGGGAGTACGTCGTGGACACGTTGGACCCCGTCGTCCAGGAAACCCTCATCAGCAACGACAACTACTTCTATTTCCTGTGTTTGCAGGGCCAATTCTCCCGCAGGTTAGTTCAGTCACTCACCTTCCTTTCCATACCCATACTAAAAAGTTGTACTTCATGCAAAGATGCCACCCCGCCTACCTCACCCCAAAAGCCCACGTCAAGCTCTCCTCCCCCGGCGCCTTCGACGGTCTCCGCATCCACACCGACGAGATCAACGAAGTCATTAAGCGCATCACACCGAGGAGTCTCACCATCGCAGTCGTCAGTTTTCCTGCCCCTTTGTCCCCTTTGTCCCCTTATCCTTCCCCCCAAACTCCATTTTAACCCCTTAAAAATAGATCATGGACTCAATGGACTGGTTCGACCCCACCAGCGACGCCGCCGCCGCCCAGGCCCAGAAACTCAACCACGCGCTGAAGAAGGGCGGCCGCATCCTCCTCCGGTCCGCCAGCATCGACCCCTGGTATATCCGGCACTTCGAGGCGAACGGGTTCTCCGCGAAGCGGGTCGGGGCCAGGGTCCCTGGTACTTGTATTGATCGGTGAGTTTCCCGTCTGGAAAAAGCAACACATAAAGTGATAGGGGGTGTGTGGGAGAAAGACATGCCGCAGCTGCTAATGCGTGACCAGTGTGAATATGTACGCGTCGACCTGGATCTGTACCAAGACCCGGGATCTGGATCGTCCGGCGCCGAGTCGGGCGATGTCGGCCTTGTCACTGAATGAGTGAGTAGGGTACTGAAGGGGGCCGTGGGGGGAAGGGGGCAGGTGTACTGAGTGGTGAGGGTGTGTGGGAGGTGGGACTTTGTTCTTCAGTTAAGCGCCTTGTTTTAAATGGTAGGAGCCCTGGAAGTGGGAAAAGGGTAGAGGTAAAAGCCTAGAAGACTATCGCTATCATATCAGAGTCAAAGCCTAAGTTAAGTTACCGAGACTGAGTACAACGCCTCCTATAAGTTACCTCATATCTACCCAGCCAGACAGCCAAACAGCCAAATCCGCCGATTCCATGAGGAACATCCATTGAACCCACACCGGCATTTGTACACCCTCAATTCATCTATCCCACGCATACCGAATACCGATGACAAGAGACAGATAACCTTGATGGAATCACCAATACAAATCTCTATGTACTGTATATTAGCACCAAAAGGACATTGAAGGGACCCGGGCCAACATGAATGGATATGAAAGGCGTACAGCAACTGATTGGAAAAATAATAAAGAACAATAGGTTTTTTGTCTGTACAATAATTGAAGGGAAGAATTAATCTGAACTCCCAAACCCTCCAGCCACATTTCCTCCCCACTTCCTTCCTTCCATCATCAAGTCAGATCATGTTAAGGTTAGGGTCCAGACCATGTCACGTCACGTCACGTCATGTCACCTCACGCCACGCATTCATCATCAGGAATCTATTGAGATCAATCGAAGGTTCAATTATTAGGGGGGGGCAGGGGTGGAGGGGGGGATGTGTGAAAGGGCAAGACAGGGTGGGTGGGTGAAAAGGTAGGTTTATCTCCCCTCGGCTGCTTTCTTCATGCCCCGCTCTCCCTTTTCTGGTCATGGTTCTGTGCCTTTCGCACTTGATGGGTGTGAAGCTTCGGATGGAGGACGATCCATCTTGCAGACTTACATTCACCAGTCGAGGACATCCAGAGTACATGAAAGGGAGATCAGAGCGAAGGGGAAGGATTCCGGAGGGGATGGGGAGGGAAATGCATAACGACATGACAAGTTGAGTTAGGGCATGTTTTATCGGGATCGTCGAGTGTGTGTTTTCGCTCAGAAGAACAAAACACGATATAGGAACAGGAACAATAATGTGAGTTAACGGGGTAAAAGAGGGGCGAAAAAAGAAAGGGACATGAAGCGTGATGATAATGATGCATTCATCGACTTGGATCATATCATACACAGACACCAGACTTCTGCAGCACAGATTTTCCCCCGCTAGATCGCTAGGACATCTGTGCGATTGACTGGCGCTGGCTGGGTTTTCTGGATTTGACTTTCTTGAAATGGATTGACAAGAAAAAAATCACGAGCGGCCGTATCGGGTCTTTCCAAAGGAGAAGGGCACGTAACGGTACTTGATCATGTGTTGGATTTGGCGGCGCACTGGGTGGGCGGATGTTTAGTTAGCTGGTTCTGTTGTATGCATGCCACGAGTGGTGGTAGGTAGGGTGCATCCAGGGAGAACATACTCGTCAAGATGAACAACATGATCCAGTACACGACCAGGACAGGCCAGAAGACCGGGATATCGAAGACCGAGAACCACGAGCAGACGAACCCGATGGCGATGGCGCGGGTCGCCGAGTGCCAGAACTTGAACTCGGGGAGCCGGCGGATGAAGGGCCGGAACTCGTCGTCCTGCTTGGTGGGGAGGCTGGGCGCGCCGGCATCACCGTCCTCCAGGCCTTCGTCCTGGGTCAGGGAGGGGTCGAACTTGGGTTGCAGGAAGAGAAGGAAGAGGTTCAGGAGGTAGATTCCGAGGGTGTAGGCGACTATTCAGGAGGAGGGGTTAGCTCTGTGTGCCGCTCTGTGTGCCTCTTCGTGGGGACAAGTTCGTGATTGTATGGGGTTTCCGGTTTCTGGTTTCTGGGGTTGACGTACCGATGTACCATCCCTGAGCGAGGACAATTCGCAAAAAGAAGATCAGGAGCAGAACGACGGTGCCAGTCCAGCGGTAGGCTGTGAAAGGTGTCGAGGCATCGAGGTAGGTTTGATATTGCTATTGTAGAAGAGGCTGGTGTGTCAGCGGGTGAATTTGTTTGTATGGAGACGGGGCTTGTTGATTCCGCTTGACTTCGCCGGAACTGCGCTCCGGATTGCGAGAGTCTTCCAATGCGGGCATTGTCGAGCTGAATAGAATCAATGCCGTCGGATAGAGGGAGAAAAGCAGGACAGAACTCACCCGTGCGAGTTTGGAAGTCTGTGCCGTGACGGCAGTGAATGGAGTCTGCTCGGGTTCGGGCACGTCCATGGCGAAGGCGCTGAAGGCAGAGAAGGATACTAAATCCTTCCTGTGTAAACGAAGTAGAGAGGAAAAAGAGAAGGGAGTAAAGGAAGAGAGAGGGGGGTGAGAGACGGAGAAGCGCAAGGATAGAGAATATTCTCCCGGTCAGCGCATGCGATGGAGAGGCGACGGAAACAGCAGCAGTCGGTTAGTTAGTTAGTTAGTTAGTTAGTTCAACACTTAGTTAGCAGCGAGAGGCAGCACAGCACAGCCAACAGCAGATAGCCAGAGGATAATCCGAAAAGTGTCCACTGCCTGCTGGCTGGCTGGCATTTCCCCACTAAGCCGCTTTCGGCCTCAGAAGCCACAGATGGCAACACTCGCTGCTGCGCCTCATCTGAGTCAGCTGTCACGTGAAAAAAGACGTGCAACACGTGCTGCTCTGCTGTCAAACCGAACAAACATGCTGTCCCTTGGACCGACCGGTTATTGGCGGGCCGCGGCCGAGCAGCTCTGCGGGGAGACTCGATTAGTATGTGGGTTGTTGCGATGACATACCTTACATTAACTAACTACCTAAACCCGTCCATCGTCCCATTTCCCCATTGACTCGAAATACCCTAGCACCCCTACTCATTATATCGAATCACTAATTGAATCCTCCAAGCCACCATGTTCGCCCGTCACTGCTCCCGACTCGTCGCCTCGCGGACCGCCCGGCCGCTGTCCACCCACCTGCGAACATACACCTCCGCGACCTCGGCCTACGAGCACATCCTCACCTCGACTCCCAAGCCGGGCGTGGGATTAAGTACGCCCCCCAATGACCTTAAGCAAACCCATCCATCCAAAGCTGACACCCGCAAACAAACAGTCACCCTCAACCGGCCCAAAGCCCTAAACGCCCTCTCCAGCCCGCTCTTCCGCGAACTCAACGATGCCCTGACCAAATACGACGAAGACAAGGACATTGGCGCCATCATCATCACCGGCAGCGAGAAAGCCTTTGCAGGTGCGTTGCCCCTCCCTCCTCTTCTTCCCCCCGGCATATCCTTTCAGCACAAACCCTCCACCGTCTTCAAGTGCAAGATTCCCTACAAATCCCAAGATCCTGCCCCACTAATCCTCCACAAAAAGCCGGCGCCGACATCAAAGAAATGGCCCCCCTAACCTTCTCCGCCGCCTACACCACCAACTTCATCGCGCCGTGGTCGCACCTGGCCACGTCCATCCGCAAGCCCGTGATCGCCGCGGTCTCCGGCTACGCGCTCGGCGGCGGATGCGAGCTCGCGCTGATGTGCGACATCCTCTACTGCACGGCGACGGCCACCTTCGGACAGCCCGAGATCAAGCTGGGGGTGGTGCCGGGCGCGGGCGGGTCGCAGCGGCTGACGCGGGCCGTCGGGAAGAGCAAAGCCATGGAGCTGATCCTCACCGGCCGGAATTTCAGCGGGAGGGAGGCCGGCCAGTGGGGGGTGGCGGCCCAGGTGGTGGAGGGCGGGCTGGAGGAGGTGTTGGCCGCGGCTGTGAAGACGGCGGAGACGATCGCGGGGCACTCGCGCGTGGCGGTTGTGGCGGGCAAGGAGGTGGTCAATAAGAGTCAGGAGTTGGCGCTGCGGGAGGGGGTCGAGTTTGAGCGGCGCGTGTTTCATGGGTTGTTTGGGAGTCGGGATCAGAAGATTGGTGAGTTTGGCCTTTTCTTTCTCTCTCTCTCGTGACAGAGAGAGCGAGGTGGAGGTAGGGTTTTGGTTGTGAGAGATGGTGTGAGCTGACTGGAGTTCTTGCGGGTAGGAATGGAGGCCTTCGCGGGGAAGAAGAAGCCCGAGTGGTCGAACGAATAGGCGGGAATGGTTGGTATAATAGGTGGGTGCTTGGAGTCCCGAGGTGAGGCAGCAAGTTGCTGTGGATATGGTCCCTGTCCGTCAGTGGAGTAATAGCAACATCCCAATTGAAATCATTAATCGTGTCGTATTTCATGATCGAACATGTAACTATGTACATCTAATATTATTAAAGTATTACAAGGATCTCTTACGCAAAAAAAAACCTCCTCACGAGGCCGCCTTCTCGGCCTGAGCCCCCTCAGCAACCACGGTCTTCTCGGTCTGGTAGTGCTCAACCACATCACGATCCACCGTCTCGTCGAACACATCAACCGGGGTCAGATGGAACTTCCGGGCGCTGACCCCCCGCTCAAAGAGGACATCCAGCTCGGCAAAAGACCGGCCGCTGGGCTCCGGCACCCGGAAGAAGGCGTAAACAATGCACAGGAAGCAGATCCCGCCCCAGAAGAAACCGGCATAGTTGCTCCAATTCCAAGCACCGGGGTTCAGCATGTACGGGGTCAGAACACCGCAGATGATGGCGACAATGTTGTAGAGCGTGCGGCCGAGCACAACGGTCTTGATCTGCAGGCGACGGGTGGACAGCTCAGCCACAAGGGAGTATGCCACGGTTCCGACAGTGAGCTGATAGAACAAAGCCCAGACAATCATCATGCTGCCCGTCGCCAACGCCCCCTGAGTCTTGTGTGATTCGGGAACGAGCCCAAGGAAGCCCATCACGAGGAGCATGACACACAGCCCACAGAGGCCGTACAGGTAGAGAGAGCGGCGTCCCAAGCCCACGGACATGAGGAACCAGGCGCCGAACACGCCCACCATATTGATTCCGTACTGGCCCATGGCGAACGCATACGAGTTGTCAGTGCTCAGCCCGGCCTGCTCCAGGAAGTACGTCGAGTAATTGGAGAAGGAATTGCCACTGAGGTTCTGAATGGCCCAGACCATGCAGACAATTTCGGTCCGGCGCAGATCAGTGCCCTTGAAACAATCGAGATAACTGGCGCCCTTGGTGATTTTCTCCTCCAAGGCCGTAGTATGAACCATCATGGAAATGGTCTCATCGGCGTCGAAATCCGTTTCCCGGTTCAGACTGGTCAGGCGCAGCAAGGCGTCCTTCGCTTGTTGGATCTTTCCCCGGCGAACAAGCCACCAAGGCGACTCGGGGGCGAGAGAAATGCCAATGAACAGCGGTAAGGGCCACATCCATTGGAGGGCATAGGGAATCCGATAAGCCCATTCATCTTGCCGATTGATCATAGCCTTGATCACTCCGATACCGATCAGTTGTCCGACACCCCAGCAGAAGTTGACATACGTCGTCAAATAGCCTCGCAGCGTAACGGGGCAGACCTCGGAAGCATAGGTGATAGTAAGTGTTTGGAAAACTCCCCAGGGAATACCAGCCAGGATTTCCGCAGCGAGCAGGGCCTGGACATTGGGCGCAGTGAAGAAGATGGCAGTCCAGGCGGTGATGAGAACAAGACAAGCCATGATAGTGTACCGATAGCCAAACCGTTCGGAAGCCCAGCCGTTGATGAAGAGACCAATAATTTCTCCGACATATGCACCGTTGCTCAGACCGGATTGCCACTAGATAGGAGAGATTGTATTAGCAGGAAGTTTCTCAAGGCCATCAATTGATTGAGGTAGGAAAGTGTAACATACCCGGGCTGGAACCTGATATGAGCCGTCCGCCGTCAGCTCACCGTATTTCCGATTGAATTGAGGAAAGGCATAGAAGTTGTTGACCAGACTAATGTCGTAGCCTTCCATGACAATACAGGTAGAGATGAGGACACTCCATGCGACAGCCTTGGGGTAGAGCTTGACGCCCTGCCACAGGGTCATCTGCCGCTCCTTATCGGTAGCGGCTTTGGCATTATGAATGATCCTGGCGGCGGAACCCGTTGAGCCGTCGGAGAGAGAGGGCGGATGCTCTACCGGTGCAATGGCATCCGGAGATTTGTTGGAAGCCATGCTGGGAGAGCAATTGCGATGCCCTGGGGAGGGAGTGGAGGGGGAGGGGGGCGGAAGGTGTAGAGGCTATGGGAGAAAGAGAGGTGTAAGATTGTCAGAGGGGGACTGAACGGGAGAACAGATTGAGAATGGGGAAAGACACGAGAGGAAAGAAAATCAGGGACGTTCCGCACCCGGCCGAATTGGCAATGGTGAATGGGTGGAAAGTGGGACGGTTGTTGGGTTAGATTTTTATGCACCGGCGGCGGGGCCCGAGCAGGAACTGGGCATAATGCCTGGTCACGACTAGGTGCCTACTCCACCAACGCCACTCGCGGGTGGTGAAATCTCACTCATCGGCAGTCGGCAAAGGACTAATAGACGGCTGACCAGATTCTAGAAGTATGCAGTGGTTGGGAAGGGGAAAGACTAAGGGCTGTAGAACCAATTGACAGCAACGCCATGCAAGCAGAGTTTGCGGGGTAGAAAATTATATGAGTAACATTGGGAGTTGGTTGGTCTGAGGATGTCAACCCCGACAGAAATGAGCAGCTGATCAATTGAGCCAAGCATTTTAGCTGTCTGGCGGGGAGAGACAATTGAAAATGTTTGGATGTTAACTGCACCTGCACCGTTGATGTACTCAGTACCTCGTCGATACTGATTGATTGCAGATCCTTCCATTCCTCATGCGGCTTTCCCTCGTGGCCTGCTGGCACGTGACTATTCCTGGTCTTGACATTCTTCAAGTATTGGAGAGGATTGTGACCCCGTCCCTTGAGCCTTGCCCTCACTCATACTTATGATCCGGCAGGTAGGCAGGTAGAGTGGTCCTACTATAGCAGATGAAAATTCTACTCTCATCCCGATTACTCACTCCAGGGTCTGGTGTCATACCTTGTCACTCCGTATCCTACAGTCCTGTCTACTTCGCCCCGCGGTTCAACAAATGGTCTCCTGCAGGCATGTGCTCCGCTTGTATCTTGGCTCCTGTGTTAAGTAGTGGTCAAGATATTGATGTCCAGTTCGAAAGATGCCAGGACACTCGCATAGTTCGTGCCCTCTGATGAGATCAAGCCACAGGCATTGGCGGTGACCAACAAGAAGATGAAGGATGAACACAACGCATCATCGATGGATCATTATGGCTTCTGATTGCGACGAGCAGTGTAGAAACTGGACAAAACTTAGTCGAAATGTCAAGGCCCAAAGCACAATGCGTTGTCGACAGGGCTGACCCTTGGTTCTTCGTTCCGTTCGGCTGGAAATCCGTATCAACGAAGCGAAGTGCCAGATATCAGATAGGCCATCAGTCAGCCATGACGTAAACTGGCGATGGCTGTCTCACCATCTTGGTGTCCATGTGCCATGAATTCTCCATGCATCCTGTGAGATGCGGGCCAATTCAGATTGACCACTGAGCTCCGACCGCGCTCCTTACCGCAATATCAATCTACGTGACACTGCGAGCCGCCCAATCATGCCGGGACAACAGCCGATCAACACGCCACTGTCATAATCCCTCGAAGCCTATTTCATCATCTCTCGTCTCATGGCCCTGGGTCTTGCTCAGGGTCCTACTAAGTTATCACCTAGCATGGCCGAGCATTTAGAGTGAGAAGGTGCTGGTGACCAGTGCTTCTTGTTTCCACGGGACAATGATATCATCGCTGCACACACGCGGCCCGTGGCAAGAGTACTGGGATGCACGCCCACCACCATGCTCTATAAAGGAATGCTTCAGAGCAGTGTCATTAGTTTTTTTCCATCATTCCACTTCTCTAACTACCATAATCAGACTCCTCCTAATCAGTCGCTGTCAATTATAAAACTTACCGAACATAAAATATTCATCCTACACACGTCATGTCGTCTGGAGACAACAACAACAACAACGGTACGTATCATCTATCTCCTATATACCTTGTTAGAATGGCTTCCGCCCTCCCCCCTTCGTAGGGAGTGATAATGCTTCCTTTGGATCTCTTTTGTGGCAAATCTGCCGCCCACTGGTTGCTAATCTGGGCTAACTAGTCAACCTCTTGCAAGGGCTGACAGACACCCTTGGCAAGACTGTCGGAGGCCTCACAGATACGGTCGGCGGTCTTGTCGGCGGAGTAGGCCAGACGGTCGGCGGAGCTACTCAGGGTCTGGGGAAGACTGTGGGCGGCGTGGGCGAAGGCTTGGGCAAGACGGTCGGAGGAGCCAGTGAGGGCGTGGGAAACACGACCAAGGGCCTCGGACAGTCGACCAGTGACATTCTGAGCAGCATCAATGGCGACCGGACTGGCGACAACGCGCGGAGGTGGTAATTTGAGGTGCGAGGTGTTTGGATGCCGATATGATACGATACGATATGATGTGATGCGGTTTGATGCGGTTCTTATCTTCTGCTGCGATCGACTATATTTGAGTTGATGTCGATTTCTGTATTAGTATGGGGTTTTTTTTTCCAATCCTTGAGCCTTGGTTCAAAACTTCTTCGTATGATCTGTCGGTAGTTCGACTCTTAAGAATTCTAGATACTGGCACGTATCACAGGGGGAAGAATAGATGCAGGTGCAAGCGAGACCTGTCCGGAAGAGATTCCGAGATCGAGAGTAGAAATCCATTGCGGGCGCGTCCTGGGGAAATTCCGCCTTCGGAAAACGGAGGTTTCCGCAGGGGAATCGCCCGCCAGCAGACTGGACGTCGCCGGTTGGTTGAACTGCTGCTTCCAAACAAGTCTGATCACACAATCTCCCTCGATGAAATTGTGACTTGGAGGTTCAGATGATGGAAAAGACCATCTTATCGAAAGATGGGTGGAGGTGACCCATAGTTGACGTGCGGCCGTCAAAGCATTAGAACTCCAGCTTCCATCCAGTCTCCATAACAACAATCCAGAGCGCAATCGCCATTTTATCAGATTCCGAGCGGATCAGATACTGGATCACCGCTGGTTCCGTTCCCCAGTGGGGGTTTCCGAAGGCTTCAAGATTCGCGATTATTAGGCGTATGCTGATGTACTTACTAGGTAGTACTTGATTATGAGTATCACTGTACAGATGTTGCCAATTCCTTTCTCGCAACCGATTGGGTCGCATGCAACAACCACATTAGGTAACGGCATCAGAGACGTATAGTAATGATCATCTTGCTTGTGAATCATGGCGAGGTATCATGCAGCTGGAGAGCTGTCTCTAAGACTTGATTGGGTAGGCTTGCGCTCATTATTGAGATGTTTACCCGTAGTCGTTAGTCCCCTTGGTTGTATGAGGCAGATTGGTAATATCGACTCAGTGGGCGGTCTAGACAGGAGGGCGTGCAGGACTCGAGTCGCAGTCTGCAGATTTCTAGGCTACCTAATCAGTGGCTGGCCTGGTCCACTGACTAAGAACGATTGTCGCGGACAGGGTGACAGGGTGTGGGCGCATCGTCTCTAGGCTAGCGCAATGCATTTCCTGGGCCGTTTCATCATGCCATGGGGGCCATCCGGCTCGATACCTCCACAAATACTGGGAAATACTCAGTAGACGTCGAGTATGGCCATCGATATGATCTGCACCGGATTGTATGGCATGAGAATAGGCGTCAAAAATCAAGGGGTGGTGATTGGCTCTGGATTGAGGGGAAAGAGGGGACGCAGAGATCGGAGAAGTTGGGGAAAGGCACGGTGGGTGCGGGGTAATTGGCGTCGTCGTTGATATGGGGGTGGTAAGTCGAATACTATTATTGTTTGAGCATGTCTAGAGAGGTCAACTGAGTAATTGCTGAAGGGGAAGACTGCGATCATCATGAATGTTGCTCTCTATCAGTTAATGCAACTGAGCTCAAGGTATCTGCAGTAGGTTTAGTCTCTCTCCGCGGAAAGACCTGCTGTTTTGACCTCGGCGCCGGGAAAGATGGATTGGCAAGTGGACCCCAACTGCAACCTGTTGACCTTCTCCCCCAGTTTCATTGGCCTCCAGTCTCATTATTCCTCTTCATCGTCGGCTCCAGCCAAGGTCAACTGGAAGCTCCATCCGATGTGAGAGGAAGAAAGCAAGAGAGGGAGGAGGGAGGTTCCTGGATTCAGATCCCGCCCTTCCGAGTCTAGCGTTTTCTTTTCGGAAAATTCATATATTTACTACCTACCTACCCCCAGCCTCTGTCCTCCCTTCTTTTACAAGACCTACGATTACTATACATACCTCTTCTCAATTTGCATTTCGTGTTGTCCTTCAATCTCCCCATTAGGACTGTATACCCATTCTCTGTCATTACTGTATCCTCTTCAGCCATAACATTCCCCACTATCCACCATGGGTAAAGAAAACGAGCCTAGTATGTTCACTTCCTTCCTCATCATACCACCCACCATACGTAAATTGAGGTCAGAAACCGAACTAACCATTGACTTCTACCTCCAGAGACCTACCGCTACAATGAGACCCCAATTTACACTACCTCCAATGGCTGCCCAGTTCGTGCACCCTCGCTTCCCTCTCAATCGATCTTGCTTTGTCGAATTCGCCATGGCTAACAGTTTCTCGCCAGGTCATGGATCCCCAGGCCGCTCAACGAGTTGGTCGCAACGGCCCTCTGCTCCTCCAGGACTTCCACTTGATCGACCTCCTTTCCCACTTTGACAGAGAACGTATTCCGGAGCGGGTGGTTCACGCCAAGGGTGCTGGCGCCTACGGCGAGTTTGAGGTTACCGACGATATCAGCGACATTACGGTCATTGACATGCTGAAGGGCGTGGGCAAGAAGACAAAGTGCTTCACTCGCTTTTCCACCGTTGGAGGCGAGAAGGGCTCGCCCGACAGCGCTCGTGATCCCCGTGGTTTCGCCATCAAGTTCTACACCGATGAGGGTAACTGGGACTGGGTCTTCAACAACACCCCTGTGTTCTTCCTTCGTGATCCCGCCAAGTTCCCCATCTTCATCCACACCCAGAAGCGCAACCCGCAGACCAACCTCAAGGATGCTACCATGTTCTGGGACTACCTGTCCACCCACCACGAGGCCGTCCACCAAGTCATGCACCTCTTCAGTGACCGCGGTACTCCTTACTCCTACCGCCACATGAACGGCTACTCCGGTCACACCTACAAGTGGATCAAGCCTGACGGTACTTTCAACTACGTCCAGATTCACATGAAGACCGACCAGGGCAACAAGACCTTCAACAATGAGCAGGCCACTCATCTGGCCGCCGAAAACCCGGATTGGCACACTCAGGACCTGTTCGACGCCATCCAGCGTGGCGAGAACCCCTCCTGGACTTGCTACGTCCAGGTCCTGAGCCCCGAGCAAGCTGAGAAGTTCCGTTGGAACGTCTTTGATTTGACCAAGGTCTGGCCGCAGAGCGAAGTACCCCTGCGCCGCTTCGGCAAGTTCACCCTGAACAAGAACCCCGAGAACTACTTCGCCGAGGTTGAGCAGGCCGCTTTCTCCCCTTCGCACATGGTCCCCGGCGTCGAGCCCTCGGCCGACCCCGTCCTCCAATCCCGCCTCTTCTCCTACCCTGACACCCACCGCCACCGTCTGGGCGGCAACTACGAGCAAATCCCCGTCAACTGCCCGCTCCGGGCCTTCAGCCCCTGGCAGCGCGACGGCTACATGAACGTCAACGGCAACTACGGCGCCAACCCCAACTACCCCTCCACCTTCCGCCCCTACCGCTACCAGCCCGTCAAGGCCAGCCAGGAGCACGAGAAGTGGACGGGCTCGATTGTCACGGAGCAGCTCCCCATCACCGACGACGATTATGCCCAGGCAAACGGTCTCTGGCAGGTCCTCGGCCGCCAGCCCGGTCAGCAAGACAACTTTGTCCACAACGTCGCTTCCCATCTCTCGGCTGCCCACGAGCGCGTTCGCCAGGCCACCTATGCCATGTTCAAGAAGGTCAACCCCAACCTCGGTGCCCGCATCGAGAAGTCGACGGAGGCCAAGGCCACTGGTGTCAAGTCTGCCCGTCTATAAATCAAAATTCGCTTTCTTTTGGCCTTTCTTACTGCCCCAGCAAAAGAGCCCACGAAAGTCGCCCACTCCATTTAGCGATGATCCAGCCTGTGTGTCTTTTTCCTCTGTAAATGTGACAGAAGCACCCTCACGAAGTTCCTCGATCTGAAATGATACCTTTGACAATTTTCTTTTAGCTTTGCGTCTCGTATTTCTTTCAAGAGTGTCAGTGTATATGTAGCTCTCCAGCAGTCCCATGTGTTGAGGTCGCAATAGTGTCGTGGTTCCTTGGTAGTACCAGTAACGGACAAGACGCAATTTGATAGATCTCTCAAGATATTGCGTGTATGTAGATATATGTATATGACTTTGGTATGATGTAGTCCCCAAGAAAACGCCCAGAACAGCACACAGCACAAGGATGGAAGGACACGCAACTCGCAAGCCAAGGAGCTTTATTCCAGAAAGTAAATGCAACTGTGCCCAAGTAAAGAAAGCGACAAACCTGCCGTTTCCAGACCCTAGCGAATGTTTGTCAACAGAAGAATGTGAAGGGTTAACCAAGAAGACCCAGAATGAAATGCTCAAAATAACCCGGGAAAACAAATCAAATACTAGTTGCACATGTTGCGCCCGCTCGGAAATACAAATTCGACGGCCCCATACGAGGGCTCAAGTCTTGGATGCGATGATAGTCAAAACAGATCAGAATTCTAGTTTTGGAGGGGGTCCTGCGGTGGTGGAATGGAGCCGCAGGGCTTGAGTTGAGGGCGGGAAGATGCTGAATGGATGGCCCCCTCTAGGAAGGGAGAGTAGGGGCAGGGGTGATCAGATGTTCGTGCGGGGTCGGAGCGTCCCAGCAACCCCAGAAGACGCCGGGCTTGCCGCAATTGGAGGTCGTGTCGGGAGGCGGCGTCCTGGAGGCTGTGGCTGTGGCGGTTCTTGTGAAGGTGGGATCGCGACAGCCGAACCAGCCGGGATGCTTGCAAGTGGTGGTTGATGAGATGGGTTCGGTGGTCGTGATGGATGGTGCGCTGGTCGCGTCTGAGGTAGTGGTCGCGTCTTTACAGCCGAACCATCCTGGAGTCTTGCAGGTGGATGTAGATGTCGATGTGGTCGTCGTTGGTGGCTCTGTTGTGGTTGTCTTGTCTAAGCATCCCCACCATCCTGGGGTCTTGCAGGTCGATGTTCGGGTACTGGAGAAGGAAGTCGACGTAGATGTGGCCGTGGTCGTCGTCGTGGTGATCTCGGAGCCGTTGCTGCGGAAGAATTTCCAGAGTTCGCAGTCATAGCATTCTTCCTCGGGGGCGCAAGGCGGCAAATCATCATAGTCCTCAAGAACGTTAGAGATAATGAATTGGATGCGGTGTCTGGTCATCCCGACACGCCAGCCTTTGTCTTCCACGGTGTCATAAACACACATCTGACCCGTGTGGCATGCAGACTCCATGGCATAGCCACCCCATGTGCATACAGAACTAACGCCGTTGCATGTCCCCATGTACACGGGGTCTGCAGTGTGGCCGAAGTGGTAAGACCCGGTGAACTTGCGCGACTGAGGGAATCGTGAATCATGACCGGGGGGGCTGGGAAGACCAAGGCGAGCGGCAGGTAGGGCTTCTGGCACGGCCTCAAAGGTGACCGCTGGTACGCCGACCGTCAGGCCTAGTAAGCTGGCCACGGCGCCACCCAAAGAATGGCCTGCTAGCCATATGTTGGCATCTGGGTACATTTCGATCACGTTCGAGTAAAGGTCCAGCGAAGCACGGTAGTATCGATTTTCGTCCTGCATTGCCTCGACGATGCACGTGAGATTGGCCGTATACAGCGATGTCTGGCAATCGCACACCTGGCGCCAGAGATATGAACCTCCCTGCCCACAACAGCAGCTGAACATGAGATTATCGTTGAGCTTATCATTTGTGGTGGTGCCCTCTCCGTCGAAAACCGCCGGCGATGTGCCTTTGATAGAGATGACGACAGTACTGTTTGTCTGGTCGGCGTAGACGTGCCCTCGTAGCCCGTCACCCTGCCACCCAAAACTCCCGGAATGATTGAAGCGACCATGTATATCTTGCCATTCACCCGTACCTGGTTCTTCGATATAATCATTTGCAGTCATCTTCGCCATCGTAATGACTGTGTTTTTATCTGTAACGTTGGGACCGGCCAGCGTATCCATGACCCAAGCCTCGGGTGACAAAGCCACCGCCGATCCCGAGGACCTGGCGGCTGATAGATAATCATCGATAACTGAAAGACGTCGATCTGCGAGCCGTTGGATGGTGAGTGGCTCGGAAGTTGCAAGCAGCGGGGTATGGACGGCGACAGGTTCGGATTCAAGGCCATCCTCTGAGACGGCCCGAAGACGGGTCTCTGGCTGGATGTCCAGCCTTAGGTGGAGATTGGGGTCTTGATACGTCCCTCGATGGAATAAGTGGCGAAGTGTCTACTTGATCAGTGGCCGTACGACAAAGACAGGGTTGCAGCACAGATCTGTCCGACTTACAAATTCATGGGTGCCGGATAGCGATGGTGAGTCCGCTAAAGGGATCTGGGGGGGAAGAAAGGGCGACGATTGTCGGGAGCCGAAGTATACGGGCTGATAAGCGGAGACAAGGCCTGGGAGCAGTGCTACAGGCCAGAAAAGATCCGAGATCTTAGTATCCCAGAGGGAACGTTTTCTCGCTCGTCCTCGATAGCTGTTCATAGTGATATACGGGGGAGGGATGGGGGAAGAAAAGAAGATATGGGGATGCAGGGATGGATGCTTGAAGAGGCAAGAGGAGTGATCCAAGTCGAACGGAGATGGCGATCTACTGTTCCGCGGTAACTGACCTACTGACCTGACTTGCCTTGACCTGACTTATCAATGGGGAGGCGGTGAATGACGCACCTCATAACTAAGTGATCAATAATGCGGAGGTCCTCACTGCCCGCCCACGTGACCTTCCCCCTCTCCCCGAGTCCCCGTCCCGTTCCTTTTCCCAAGGCGGAAGTTGTTGACAATTCCCGGCCTGGTGATTCTCTTCCTAACTTATACATCGAGTGCTGACTGCAGTGACGGGCAGGCCGATCTCCATGGTACTCCTGCGCCGCTGTGGCTTGCTGTCTTTCATCATGCTTGTGCGAGTGTTCTTCACTTAAAACTCGATTGATCTCCTTTCATCTGCATTTCTTTCTCTTATTTGTGTCTGTTTTCCATTGGGTTTCTATCCCACTTGGGGATTTCCAGCTGTCATCTAGTCTAACGCACTGGCCCCCCCTCCCATACATACCTCGATCTGCATGCGCCTATCACCTGGACGTGAAGGCTCCATCACTTGACCTAATATCACATTCAAAGGTTTGACTGCAGGAACTATGTCAGTCAACACTCCCGATCATGGCGTTGGAAAACCACGCCTCCATACTGCCCGCTCGTTCCCTAGAATGGATTCATCTGAGCCCAGCCCTTTCATTCGCTCCAGAGCCAAAACCGTCCAGTCGGTGGCAATCCCAGAACTGGTAGACTCGGAATCGCTTCCTTTACCTCTATCGTCAGCAGAAGATGAGCAGGATTCCGGCCCAGACCTGTTTGAAAAGACCGGCTCCCCGGACTTGACACACGACGAGGACGGACATGGAGAGGAAACGTCGGTTCTCTCGCGAGGCATGCAAGACCACACGGAAGAGCTTCCCATCGAGCTGATCAGTCTTACCGATAGGTACAGTCTTTTTGCTAGGCTGCCGCTAGTCCTGTACAACACGATTGCTAATAAGATGTTATGCAGATTCGTCAACTCCCTCACTGCCAAAGTCCACTCGTCACCGCCAACGGCCGACAGGGTATCAGATCGCTTCCAAGAATTCTACGAACGGGCCGAGGCACATATCGCTACCCATATATCAGCTCTTGCGTCCCGCATAAACCGTGATCCGTCGCCGTACGGCAGCAGAGGGAACTCGAACACTCAGGGCTCGGATGGGCGGCAAATGCTGACTGCCTCGGAAGTGACAGAAAAGAGGATCGCTCGGAAGCACCTAGCGTCCAAGCGCATTGCTCTGGAGGAGGCTGTAGAGCGGAGGGCTTGCGAGAGCATTTATGATAAGTTATGGAGGCACAAAAGCACCCTGGATGAAATTAGGGACGAAAAGTTACGCTCAAAGACGGCGGCGCTTCTCCTGGTTGGCATAAACCTGAAAGATCTTGGGATAGAGCTCGATGTAAGCTCTATCAGTGAGGAGAAGCAGAAAGAGGCCGATGACTGTCTTTCGATCGCCCGTGATTGCCTAGCAAAGATGAACGACGAGAAATATCCTTTGGGCAAGCTTCAACAACTGGCCGCCGCGCACAAGGCCATAGTTGATGCTCTGACTAAGTTACTGCCGTCATCATCGTCTGCCGATGAGATTCTACCTACTTTGATCTACTGTCTCATCACCAGCCCTCCCGAAGGGATGAACGTCATAAGCAATCTGCTCTTCATACAGCGATTCCGATCATCCAGTAAGATGGATGGTGAGACCGCATACTGTTTGACGAATCTTGAGGCCGCTATTAGCTTCCTCGAGAATGTAGATCTGTCTGACCTCCGCGGAGGAGCGCTGCATGAAGACCAGACCAAACCCTCGAGTGATGATTCGACGACAGTCACGAAGACTGACTCCCCTCAGCCTACCAAGGACACACCAGTGTCGTCGGTCACATCAGCGACTGCCTCACCCGAACTATCGAGGCCAGCTGGACCAGGAGCATCAGCCACATTTCCCAGAACACAGTCTACGAGAAATACTCAACAAGGCCGGCTGAATAACCTATTCCAGCCTCCTGCGAAGGTGCTTGGTGCTGCGAACGACGCAGTCCGTAACACCGCAGATCAGGGCTTGAAAAATATAGGTGCATCGTTGGACAGCAGTTTCAACTTCCTGTTTGGTCGCTTGAAAGAATTACAAACTACTCAGATTGCTACCAAAGACGGAGGGAACGCAGTTGTGCCAAAGACACTAGCAGAAGCTCGACGTCTGGTTACGTCGCCGATTGCGTCTGAGAGCAGTCTGAACCCTGATATCAATGCAGCCCGCGAGCCTCGTGCCACTGATCGACCGCAACTGCGGCGAATTGGCTCCAAAGCAGAAGACACTCTCTTAGGGTTGGTTGGTGGTCAGAGAACGCCTCGCGATCGAAGTGCGGACAGCGTTCGGACGCAGGGTAGCGCCCGGAAGACGGCCGTCTCTTCAGGTCTGCAGAAGGATGAGTCTCAGGCATCGCCTGCAATGTCCTCGACAACATCGACACCTACGCCCCTCGAATCCATGCGGAGCTTTGGGAACACGCTGAATCCACTCAATCACATTCCTGGCATGATCAGAAGCTTCAGTCGTGCTGCTCCGGAAACGCCGAGCACCACCTTTTCGTCCCCCAACACCCCGACCGAGAGAATCAGGCAATCGATCGTCTCCCGCGATTCTTCATCCTCCGTCCACAGTACCTCATCGAAAAATGATCCGAAGCCCGAGCCGCCCAGAGTTGACCCGCCTATTCAACGTTTCGTGCAGATGCAGAACGCCAGCGAAATGACCATTGCAGATGTGTCTACCCTCCTTGAGGATTACAAGCGGCTTGCTGCAGCGTTATCGAAGCAGACCTCGAACTGACGCAAAGCTGTCGGCGCAGCTACAACACTCATTTTGAATTTCTCTTATATTGATTCCGTGTATTATCATCTCCATGGCGTGGGACGTAGTAATCCTTGACGTTCCTTTGTGATCGGTTGGTTCTCTGTGAGATTGTGGGATCACTGCTGGCGTTCAGTGGTCCCAAACCAAGCATGTTGCATTTTCCAGCCAGTCGGGCATATTATCAAGTTTTTTGTCTAGCATTTTTCTCAGGACCAACAATGCGAAGCTTCTTCATCTTTTTTTTCTTCGAGAAAGGGTCTATCACGTAAAAGGGGGTATATTGATATTTGTGTAGTGTTAAGAAAGAGGAAGAAACACGAAAAACCGCCATAAACCCCATCGCAGCACATATTAGAGTTGGTATTCCCATCTGCCCATCCAGGGAATCAAACAATAAGACTAAAAGCCTGCTGCAAAATGCAAACTTGAGCCTCCTCTTCCTCTTCCGACCTCACATAAACATGAAAGAAGCACACTCACACCCTTCCCTACCTTTTCGGCAACTCTCACTGAGTAGGGGTCCGCCCCCGAAGAACCTCCGCCCCACCACTTTTCATATCCTTGAGCTTCCGGGACAACTCGGCGGATTGCTCCTCGACCAGTTCGTGCCGTCTCCGGATCTCCGCCTCGAAGACGGCGGCGGTCCGTCGGCGCGCGCGCCGCAGATCCTTCATCTTCGTCAACGTCGCGGAGAACTGGTCGATGAGGAGGTCGCCGTAGTCCTCCCATGCGTCCATCGTCAGACCGGAGAAGAACGCCCGGCGGTCCTTGTCGGCGAGACTCAACAGGTGCGACATCTTCTCCTCGGCTTTCGTGTCGGGTCCGGGAGGCGCGATGCTCGGGGTTGTTGAGGATGCTGTTGGAGGTGGCGTGGTTTTTGTTTCTGCGGGGGTGGCGGCGGAGGAGGAGTTGGGGATATGGTCGAAGGGTTCGGATTGGAGGTCCGCGAAGGATTTTTGGCGGAGGACTTCGGGCGGGTAGTCGGGTTCAAGCTGGCGCTTTTTGGAAGAGGGGTCTTCTTTGAGTTCCGGGCTGGAGCTCCTGTCTGGGCTGATGCGCTGGACAGATAGGCGGCGGGAGAAAGGGTCGTTAATGGGATCGTGGTCGTGGCCGTGGTCGTCCTTGTTGTCGTCGTGATTATCATCGTGGTCGTTGTCCAGGTCGTCGATGTTGGTGATGTCAAAGGCACTCAGCGGGGGCAGGCTCCCTCGTCTCCTGAAGTCACTGTCGAAAAAGCCGTACTCCTCCGCGATGTCGCGATGATTCTGATTCTGATTCTGTTGTTGTTGTTGGTGGTGGTCGTGGTGGTGACGCTGGTAATGACCGACTCCGCTTGCCACGTCCTTGCCTGGCTGGGGGCGTGGTCCAGACGTCCGGCGGGTCGGGGTCAAATCTAACTGTTCCAGGAGGGTGGGCTTCGGGGGGCTGAACCTCGTCCGGGGAGTCGCCGTCATGCTGCGTGGGAGAGTGACCTTTCGGCTGTTGCCGCCGGCTAGGGGCAAGACCTGACTGGCGGTCATCATCCTGGAGTCGGACTGGGCTTGCCGCAGTGTTCCAGGACCGGAAGTCTTAGCCGGCTCCAGGTACACGGCGGGGATCGCGGCGGGAGCGTCCTCGGTGGGATTCTGATAGGTGCGACGGCTGGCGCTCCAGAAATTCTGCAGACGCTTGCTCAGGGGTTCGTTGGCCGTCGTGGTTGACGACCTGTAGCGCCGGGCATAATCCGCGGCGTCCTCGGTCGTGTCGGACTGCTCATCATCCCCCACGACGGAGGTTAACTGGCTCTCGGCATCGTCGGCCGCATCCCCTGAGTCGAAGCCAGCCGACTTCGGGGCGTTGTCGCCAAAGCTCGCGTACCATTTGGCATCGTGCGAGCGATGCGGGGGATGAGACTGGGACGGGTGCGGTCGAAATATCTTCGGGTCGGGGGGGGCGTGATGCTGCGCTGTGGATGATAATTGATACTGAGGGGGAATGTCGTCGAATCCTAACACGCTGGTTGCTGCGATGGTCGAGTCATCGATCCCCTCCACGTCGGTGTCGAACATGTCCCTGTGCACGGCATCGACAGGTGGTGGTTGCGGCTGCTGCGCATAGTGCTCAAATAGGTTGGCTTGATTGCCCGGTAGTGGTACCGGAGCAATCAGGTTGGTGGACGGTACTTCAACCCTTGCTTGGGCTGCTAAGGCCTGTCGGGATGAGAGATTTTGATCATGATTTTGGGTTTGGTTTTCACTTGTGCGAGATCGCGGTTGGGCGCCGGGTGGTCTGGCATGCACATAGTCTCCCACGCCCATCGTCACGGACAGTGGTGGAGCAAGGCTCAACGGTCGAGAAATCCGAGTCGGGCAGAATGATCTCTTTCAGCAGGTTTATGGATAAGCGTGTTCGGTGAATGCTCAATCTGTACGCATGACAACAATTACATATGTCGAGAATCAGAATTGTAACATGGTCGTAGCGTCGTGGCAGTCATGAGTCTGGAAAAGTGGTCGAATCAAGTTGGTCAACGCGTTGGATTCTTTCGTCAGGCACACGAGGCAGCCACGGGGTCACGTGGTACAGTACAGCAAAGTCCTGTATGTACATCGATAGGAGTAGCCAGATGGATGCCTCGTTTTATGGATGCGTTTATTCCATCATATGTTTGGTTGTATGCTAGTCTCGTTATTGGAAGTTCTGAAGTGGAGATCTGATTTTACATTGGGGTTTTCATGTAGACCGGTCTGGGGAGATGCCGTTACATATATTCACATCATCATGTTTTGCACCAACAACATGCACCGACTAAGTCATACAGATAACACTAACTCCAATAGCCCATCGACTCGTTATCATCAATGTGGAAGTCATCAAGAGTAGAAGTTACCCCCTTGCCACGCTGCTTGGCTTTGTGGAAGAATTCTTCGGACTTCTGAGTCTCGGACGCACGCTTCTCCATCGCAAGTCTACGTTCGCGTCTATCCTGGATCGAATACCGCATGTTGTCGGACATCGAGTCTTCATCCTCGTCATCGGTATAGTAGTCGTGGTCAGTCTGGCCTCCAGGCACGGAGGACACAAATAGATCAGCAATCCAGCGTGACACCATTCCCCTAAGCTCTAACAATTCTGGAGAATCCGAATATGGCGGAGAGCCAAGAATCTCATCCATTCTCCCCGCAATCTTTTGCGCTTGATTGAGCTCTGCTTTGCGCACGTCGGCAATGAGCGCGTGGGCCCTTTCCTTGGAATCACGATGGCCGTCGTGGTCGGAGGCAAGATCTTCATCCTCCGAATGCTGCCCAAATTCGTCGGTATGACGAGTCCAAATGTTCCGTCGACTAACCTCGCTCTCTTCTTGGGCCACATAAACCCAGAGGCCGAACATGGCAGGGTAGAAATGCAATGAGCTGATGGAGTCTGGAGAAGCCTTCCGGTATGGATGCTGGATGATCAGCCTCTCATAATACTTCTTGGCATCCTCAAAACCCTTCCTTGTGAACATGAGCTGTGGACCCGACCCTGGTGACTGGGAACCGCCGTTGTCGCTGCCATTTTCAGCAGCCATGTCTGCGATTTGACGGCCGCGCCGGAGCAGAATTTCCGCACCAATTCCCCATCTCCCCTCAGTCCGCGCATCGATCGGTCTTCCATTGAATTCTTCTCGGAGAAGTAGTCCCCAGGCTCTTCCCGCTCGGACATAGTCCCTTTGAAGAAGGCAGCGGTGCAATATGGATGTCAGCACAGCCAGGTGCTGCAGACGGAGGTTACCCTGATGAGCAGCAGACTGGGGGGGATATATGGGAGAAGAGAGAGAGGATAGCTTTTCAAGTACCCCTTCCCGCGTCTGTCGAGTGGAAGACTGGGTTTGTGCAGGTGCATGTGGAAACTTGCCGCCCGGTAATTCCTGGTCGAAAGACAAGCCCGCAACGCGGTATTGATGAGCTTCATCTGGTGACAAAGTCAGAGATGGCGCAGGCAGCGCAACTTCCGAAGCAGCATCGGTGGTTTCTCCTAGGTCGTCATCATCATTGTCACCCCAGTCATCAAGAGTCTTCTTGCGCTTTTTGGCCTCATATTTAGCCACCCGTGCACTCTGAGGTTGCTGCCATGGAGGAAGCGGCAAGGAGAAGAAGGAAGCCGAAGGAACAGATGCCATGAAGATCTGAATTCTCGGAACCTGAGAACCTTATCTATTCAGTGACAATGTATGACGAAGGCAAATTAAGGTCCCATGGGGAGTGGCCATTTAGAGTGGTTGAATCTGGCTGGAAAATCAGACACGGTACTGCATGCAGACTTTCGGGTCTCCTCTTGGGGTCTCGTCCAGATAAGACCTTTTTCTTCTTCTGTTTCTTTCTTTCTTTCTTTCTTTCTTTCTTTTTTTTTTTTTTTTTTCTTGTTCAAATATCCTCAAACACTGCCCTTCTGAGGCACCAGCAGCTGCTTGAGAGAGAAAGAAAGTTCAAGAGAATATGGATAACTGCACGAGTGAAGAGTGACCAATAATGGAGGGCAGATAGTGAGTTATCGGGATGATGGAGGATTGAGGATGGATTCATCCTTACCTTACCTTAGTACCCGTAAGTAGTGTCTCTGGCAAGTCTCAAGCACGTTACCGACTCTCCACACTAAACTCAATTGAGCCAGACAAACCGCCGAAACCGCCATGATGCTAAGCCCTTTCAAGCCATCGGGCGTCCCGGACACCTCAACAGAACTCAGGCTGTAGATTACATACTATGGTCTGTACTTACGGAGTAACTTACACTCCAGGGCAGCCTGTCTGTTACTCTAATTCGAGTAAGTAGGTACTGTATGTTATCCGTCGTCTCCTCTTCCTCCTCTTCCTCCTCCTCCTCCTCCTACTCCTCCCATCCCATTCCTCTAACCCGTCATCATCGTCATCAGCCAGCCTCGAACCCCCCTCCGTCTTCGTGCTTCATCCCTGAGCTGCAAGGCTCACCTCCTCCTTCCATCCCTCACTGTCTCCCCTCTTTTTCTTTCTGCTTTTTTTTCTTGTCCTCCTTTTCCTTCTTTCTTTCGCCGCTTGTAAATACATACGATTGCACTTTACTCCGGTTGTTGTGGGGTCTCTCCCCTCTCTCCCCTCCCCCCCCGAAAGTCGTACGGCGTTAAATCCAAATACAAAAAACCCGCGCCATACACCTCCCCTTCCTGGCTTTTGAAAGGGTTGGCAGACACCTGCTGGCAGGCTGATTTTGACATCAATACTTTTCACATTTCGGAACACCTCTCTGGCAAATTTCACGATTCTTTGTGAAGTTGCGGACCGCGATTAGCACTTGATTCCCATTGCTGCATTCTGTGACGCGGAAGAGGCCTAACGATTAGCTGCGACCTGAGCATTGCTTCCTTCCTGCGAACACACACCCTTTTCACCCAGCTCAGCCGCTTTGCTCTGGAATACCTCTCAAATCCTCTTGTAGTCAGCATCGGATGTCATCGGCTTGTTAGACAGACTGTCAAATGGTACGTATCTCCTGGGCACTACCCTCGTGTCGCCCACAAATTGGTACCCATCCGGTGGCGCTAGTTTGTGTGCGCTGCCTAGATGTTTGTCTTTGCAACCACGGACTCTTATCCTGACCTCTATTTTCCTTCACCTTCCATGTGGACTCCACTGGTTTGGACTGAATTGCAGCTGTGTATTGTCTGACTAATGCTGGTTTCACCTTTAGTCATCAATTTCTGGATGGCAATAGGCAGCTCATAAACATCCATTGCCACGGCCTACTATCGCCTTGCTGTTACTATGGGACAGTCTTCCTCAACGCAACGAAATCATCGTCACAGCATCCCCTCAGAACGCTTTTTCTCTTTTCACGCGCATCGAAGTCGGCTAGATAGGAATGAAGATATGAATCAAAGGCACAACTCGGATCAAACGGGGGATGTTCATTCCCCACCAGGAATGGAAGCAGACAACAGTGGAATTCAGCATGGACCGACAGGGGCCGAACAGCCTGAGACACGGCAGCCCATGATGTCCTCACTCGGCGAGCAGCAGCAGATGGGAAGCATGCACGAGGAGGACGGGTCGCAGTTAGGACAAAGCCAGCGGGACAGTCGCTCAGCCATCTTCGCTCGTATGGCAGCGAGAAGGCAGTCCACCATGTCTCGACTGGGCTCCAGGATCTTACCCAACTCCGTGATCCGTGGTCTACTAAGCAGCGAAGAGGAAACACCAGCAGAAGGTCACGCTCACCGCCATGGCATCGTTTCAAGATCAGTCCCCAGAACTGAAACTACACACAGCAGCAGTCGGTTCAGCCCGTTCAGTGGGATCTCCAGGCGACGCTCTGCACGTGGGCCCTATTATATTCCCCGCAGTGACCCCCTTCTTGACCCCTCCAGTCCTGGCGCATATCTCGCCCCACCAGAAAATGGTTCTGAAGCCACCAGAAGCCCGTGGAGGCGCAGTGCTCGACTGAACCGTATGCGAAATTCAATTTCGGGCCCGATTACACACATGTTTGGACAGTCATCGAACATTTCAGGCCAGAACCTGGGACCACCGCCGCAGTTACCCTTGGGATCACTTCCTGGTGAGGACCATGAAGGCCTTCTTCCATACCCAACAGCTATGGATACACGGATGGACTTTGATGAGCCTCATGAACTCGATTCGGTGGAACCGGCAGTGGGAAGCTCCCGGCCAACCTCTCCCATGTCGCAGTCAGCGCAGGGTTCTCCCGGGTCACGACAACTTCCGGATTCACTGCGGGTAAGGTCATCACGCATGCTGCGCCGGGAGGAACAAACACCTTTATCTCGTGTACTTCAGCTGGCAGCTGCCGCCATTGCTGCCCAACTTTCTGGAACGACTGGGCCTGTTATGCCCAACATTCAATCTCTTGGGAATGATGGCCTGGATGGCTCGCTTGAAAACTTTATCCAAAGCTTGCAGCATGCGACGTCTGCCCAGCAGCCTACTCATAACGATGCACCGACTCCCGCAGGGGATACTGCTCCCCAAACCCCAGTCAACTTCTTAAGGGTATTTCGATTTGCCAACTCGGACAATGCTCGGCCCAGTGGACCCGCAGATCGCCCAAGTGCGGATAGCGATAATGCAAGCGGTACTGGGACACAGATGGATGTTGACGGTCCTACCGAGGGTCCGGAAGGTCGCACGGTCACTTTGGTTGTGGTTGGGGTTCGCTCAGTCCCGTCAGGTAATGGCTCCACCGGTGAACAGGGCGGCAATGCGGCTCCTGGGCTCGATGCACTGCTTCGTCTGCCATTTTTGACGCCTGGAAACCTGTCACGGAGTCAGGATAGCAATTCGACTTCGCCATCACGTGGTGAAGGCAGACCGAGATTACCGCAGCTTCGCCTTCGACCCCGCAGCAATGGTTCAAATAGCATGGGTGAGCCGTCTTCTCAAGGCCATTTACACCCCTCGCGACGGTTCTCTGATACGGCAAGCCGCGCTCCGCTCACATCTGTCCCTTCTATTCTGTCGGAGAGTCCTCCGGGGCCTAATCCACCCCCATCAACGCCGGCTGAACCGGGACTATCAGCCGTGTCATCCGGCGCCTCTACCCCAAGTCGAAGGCCGTCTGCCGCGTCCGCAATCCCTCCCAGCGTCCTGCCTCAGCTTGACGAGAATAGGGCATTGCAACCCACGGCTGAGTCGGTCGAAGACGGCATCCCGCCGACAGCAACACGACAACGACGTCGTAGTGACTCTGAGTATGCGCGCCATCGTGAATTAGGATCTGGTGCGGTCAGACGCAACGGCGTGGTAGAACCTGATAACGGCACACCCCCTACGGGCAGAAGCTGGTTGATCTATGTTGTTGGAACCAATCTGTCGGAAAATCATCCTGCCTTTGCTACTCCGAGCCTGTTCACAGATGTAAGATCGATTATCCGTGTTTGACGTTCATTCATGACTGACAACTTGCAGAACCCAACATATGAAGACATGATTCTGCTCTCATCTCTTCTCGGGCCAGTTAAACCACCCGTTGCTACTCAGGACGATCTCACCTCCGCTGGTGGCATGTTCCGACTTGTCGAATACGGAGGTACCCTCATTGCGGAGGCTCTAGAGGGCACTGGTAACATTCATCTACCCGAGGGTGAACGTTGCTTGATCTGCTTAAGTGACTATGAGGTGGCCGATGAGCTTCGGCAATTGAACAAGTGCAAGCATTTGTTTCACCGGGATTGCATAGATCAGGTATGCTCTTCATGATTCTACGTTGTTGTAAGCACATTGCTGATATCAAGTTTAAAGTGGTTGACAACAGGCCGTAACTCCTGCCCTCTGTGCCGTGGCCAGGGTGTGGCCGAAACCTCTAATGCTGGACCGGCCGCAGAGGCGCCGGATGTAACAGCAGCCTGACGACACCTAGCCGAGATTAGCTTGTCTCTTTTCTTACTCTGGAGATACATTTATTATCCTTTAACTAACCTTGAACTTCTCTTAGCATGAAGCGTCTATACCAAAGCCTGATGAATGACTTTAGCTTACTTTCTCATGATATCCCTTCACGGACATCAAGCGTGGCTCTCTCTTTTCTCCTCCTTCAACTTGAATGGCCTTTCTGGTTAAATTCTTACCTTCCGGGATTCTGCAAACACTGGCGGTGACTCATGATTAGAAGGCTGCATATATGTATGTATCCTTTACAGTGCCGTTAGCTGTCACGGGTCTCACAGGCCACGGCATGGAGACCCTGTATTGATTTTGTGTGACATATCCCCGGATAATTTCCCCTTGTTCTGCCACCAGATTATGCTGTACTATTCCCCACTTTGTTTGATATTTGGATGTTGGCCTGTGAGCTGGAAATGCACCGGTGCATAATACCTCTTTTTACTCCTGTCTTTGTTTTTAAGGATTGTGCGGGATAGTCGATGGAAATGGGACTAGGTATATCAAGCGAATGAAACTTTGTTAATCCTACCGGTATCCTGACTTGATTTATTGACTGATTATTCATGTACGTATATATCAGTTAAAGGTCTAGTAGCAGCAAGTTACAGTATATCTTAGTAGACCAGTTCCAAATGTCAAAATGACTATAACTATAAGAGGTAGTACGCTCTTAGACTTCTGTTTCGGTTCTAGCTAATTACAAGTTATACAGGCTGATTTTTATCATATAGAAGGCCCCCCTGGTCTTATGTCGGCGTTCCTGAGTAATCCAGCTACATAATCTAACGCGGTTACCAGTCTGCTTCACATGTCATCTCAGATAGTTTAGCCATGAAGAGCCACCAAGGAATCAAGAGATTGCTCTATATTGCCCACCCCGGCGTGCTTCAAATTGCTTATGTCTTAACCAGGCTACATTAACCAATATCTTCGGGGCGGGTTAGTATGTATTCTATACCTAAGTTGTTCTCCCTTCTGTCTGTAGCTAAAATTAAGACTGTTTGCCCTTGTCTTTAAGGCTAAAGTCTCCCCAGGGGCTAGCCCAAGAGCTATCAGTCGAAAAAAAGACCACCACTATCAATCAATGCATACAAAGCCCCGATGTATCCTGTCTTCTAATCGACCCTTGGAACGGCGGAGCGGAGAGACTCAGGGCGCGGGCGCGTCCCGCATCTCCGCCCCTCACGATGACTCAGCCCACCGCTCACCGGACTGTCCACCACCCCGCGTCTTTGCGATCTCGGCCCTGTAGTTGAGGACGCAGCTGGTTCTCAACCGTTGACTTCTTCAAACGTCTGCCCACAGTCTTTTTCTATTGAATTCGACCTCGGAAAGTCTCAGGTAGGAAGATGGAACCCTCAAGGACATAATTATACCTTGCTAATTCGGCAATTGAGAGGCAGGATCCAGCGAGACGGAAAAAAATAAAATCCCTACCCCGCCATCCAGGAACAGACGCCCGATATCGACCATCCACGCCTCATCTGCCATTCCTTCAGGACAACGCGACTCCGTCAAAAATGGCAGACCCCGTCCGGCTCACCGTCCTCATCTCCGGCAGTGGAACCAACCTTCAGGCTGTCATTGACAAAACCAGCCAGGGTCAACTCTCCACCCAGATTGTCCGAGTCATCTCCAACCGCAAGGATGCTTTTGGCCTTGAGCGGGCTCGCAAGGCCAACATCCCCACACGATACCATAACCTCGTGAAATACAAGAAGCAACACCCTGCAACACCGGAGGGGATTCTGGCGGCGCGCGAGGAGTACGACGCTGAATTGGCCCGGCTGGTGCTCGCCGACAAGCCAGAGATGGTCGCTTGCCTGGGATTCATGCATGTGCTGTCACCGCGGTTCCTGGAGCCATTAGAAGAGGCCAAGATCAAGATCATCAACCTGCACCCCGCTCTGCCGGGTGCCTTCAATGGCGCGGTAAGTTCTCATTCTCTTCTGTTGAGCTTTTCTTTTAGGGTGTATGCGGTTGGCTTGTGTGGCTGCGAGCCGGGGGCTTAGACATGAATATATCTGACTCCCATCGAACAGAATGCTATCGAACGTGCCCATGCGGCTTGGCTGGAAGGGAAGATCGATAAGACGGGTGTCATGATGCACAAGGTGATCTCGGAGGTTGACATGGGCACACCCATTCTTGTGCGCGAGATTCCGTTCATCAAGGGTGAGGATGAGGATCTCCACAAGTTCGAGCAGAAGGTGCATACGATTGAATGGGGAGTGGTGATTGAGGGGGTACAGCTAACGATCCAGGAGATCCAGGATGAGAGGCAGCGGAGGTGATTTTCTTTGGATCTCGATAATTTACGTTACCATTGTGGTTAAGATACCAAGATACCAAATCTGAATTTTAAAATATTTACTCATTAGCTGCACCTTGTAGGACCAATTCAGTCTTACTTCGCTATCATTTGTGATATGTTTCTGCTGACTGCCCGTGGTATAGCTGAGCTGAGCCTGAGCCCAGACAACCTTACCTAAGGCAGTCCCGAGTCAAGCTTGCCAACTTCCAGAAATGGATGGATGCCTTAAACCCGGGTCCGGCGTGACTTCCTCGGCGATTAGCCCGCCCAGAGAAGTTTCCAACTTCTATTGAGTATCTTTTCCATGGGAACAAGAAACTCTGGATTCAGTCTATTTGCTCTATCGTTTCCGTATGTCTCAATTTGTCAACAGAGGGGCCGATCACTTGAATCATGCAACCAGACTATTACGGTTCGATCACCTCGAGCCAGCGGATGGCTACGGTATCCTGCTTGCTGATCGTCGTTGCTGCCGGCGTGCAGCCAGCCTTCCAAGTATCACCACGACGAGGATCCTATCCTCATTCTCCGGCTGTAGCCCGCACTTCAAAGTCTCGACTCATATTCTTGACGTGATTTATAATGTTGACCATATTGTCGATGGGTGGCACCTCACCAGGATCAACCGGCGACGCCCACTTCCTCTGTCCGTACAGGCTCCAAAACAGATGCCTGAAATTCGAATGTATCTGTGCAAGGGTTTTCAGAGGAAGGTGACAAACGGTACTGGTGTCGGTGACTGAGACCCTGGTCACTGTGATATCATGCTGCCTCAGCAAATAAGAAGGCTAGGACCATATTCACTGGGAAGTCTCCGAGATCTTCTCGGCTCTGATTTGATGGTCATGACATGGGAATTCTGACTGCTTCATCTAAGGGACTCCACTCTGCAATAAGTCTCCGGGCCTGCTGGGAAAGAAATCTGCCACCTCCTCCACCCGGTTCTAGATACCATCATAGTGGGCGGTGATCATGATTATCATGGGCTTGAGACCCCTGGCTGCATGATCCCAATGAGTCCAGGATGCGCAAGCCTGTTAGCTCTGAACTTAAGCTTGCCTGTGTCAGCAGGCTTGGGAAGCTAGATTGATTCTCACGCACAAGCAACCTGCATCCAAAAAATCACTCACCATGTTGTCTATGTGCATTAGTCCATGGGAGTGGGCAAGCGGAACCGCTCACATCCTTTTTCTCGTATCCTTATGTGATGATACCCCTCATTCGAAGCCTTAATCTGAGCTTCAGTTCTGCTGATAGGCTGGCCTCGTGGATCTAACGGCTGATTTGCATCGCAAGCGCCCAAAAGACAACTAGGCAATATACAGTGCTTGGTGCGTGTCTGTCCACGTACGCCATCAAGGAGAGCAATGAGAACGCATGACTACTGAGGAAGGATCATTAGTGCAGCTCATGAAGGGCGTTTGTTGGTCCCTATTAGGAAGGTCTGGGCAGTGGTTCCACCAGAACAATCATGATATGACGGCTAATCCAACGATGAATCGGCTTCTGACTCGACGAACTCCCCATAGCAGTCTTAAGTCTGTGGAGCTGAATCCCTGGTCTTGCCTGAATGCAAGGATACACCTAGAGCAAGTTTGTCTGGCAGGCACACTCAGTATGCAAATTTTGGGGCACCGACAACGTCTCCTGTAGACACTTGATAAAATCATTGAACAACCAGGATGAGTAATCCGAGGTAACTGTACAGTTTGTCCTTGAAGGCTTCGTTGGTACTAGACAGGATTCTAATTGAACCAGGATACACTCTATATGAAGCCTTTACGGTCAAGCCTCGATAGCCAGGTCTTCCTTTTCTTCCTGGAAGAAACATGGACTCCACTTCCGAAGCCGTTGGCTGGCATGGTAGCTAATGATGGTAGCCTGTGCGTCCGTACCATTGACTTATGGAATCTACCGGTGTCTTTTAGTGGGTATGCTTCCTGACTGATTGGCTCCTCGGGAAACTCGAATTTCCGTGGTGATGATCCCCGAGAATTTATCTACGACCCCCTTCCAGAGTTTCCAATCAATCTTTTCTTTTGAGGCCCATATGGTGGCCCGTCTCTTCAAGTTTAGGTCTATGACAATCATAATGTGTGGCACGCAATTTGGGTGAGCAACAGCACCCACCGGCCAAATCTGGGACGGTCATACTATTCATAACTATCGGTCACTCTAATCGTTGGGTTGCATCACGCGGACAGGGGCCAGAAGAAAATCATCCATCTCATGAAGGAAAGAGTCAAGAAAACAGCCTTGGTGGGCACATCCGTTCGGACTTCCATTTCCCCTTCATCCCCCAGGTTGGCTAGCCATTTCTCGGATTTTGCTAGCTGACCAATCCGCTGCCTGTATATTTGCCTGTCCACTCTCCCGAGGGTCTGATTGACCCATGGGGATAGGTCTAATCGACGATAGTGTTATTGCCTGGAGGACCGGTGGCGTTAGTCAGTGGTCTCACGTCAAAATCTAGGTTAGCTGCTCCCTGCCCCCAGCAGCGGAATGACTAGTCTTCATTGTTTGGCAGAAAAGGGAAAGGGGGTGGGAAGAGAGAAGATTAAAGAAAATTAAGAGTGAAGAAACACTATGAAGAGCGCAGTGCCATTGGATCGGTGCTGTGACCTGCTTCACTCGCGGTGGAGGAGGTCGGTCCTGGCTACCCTGATACGAGTACGACTAACAATTCCAGTCCACATGGGTGAACCCACACTCAGCTTGGCTAATTTGAGCTGCATGCTTGAGTGTATCTGATTCCTTCGTGAGAACTACCACTTCCTTCACCGACGACTTATGATGGATATTAGCATGCGACCGACGACACCCAGAGGCAAGCCTGTCACCTTGTTACCGCATACGCCAGTACCCATACGAGGCAAGAGAATTTGGAACCAACTGCAAAAATAAAGCGAACAAACGGGAGAGGCAAAAAAATTCTGGACACGAATAAAACCCTGCTTGCGCATGACATGCGATATTCTTACTCAGTACATCGTATGGTATGAGATCAACCCGATTTAGGGCTTGTGTGGATCTCAGTGACACGACAGGCTGTGCTCTACGACCAGGTTGGACAAGGCCGTCATATCCGCCCACGCTGGGCTACTCTGGAATTGTCGTACTAGCCTAGCATTTATTTGGTTCGACCCAGTCATCAGCACCGCACACTTCAGCTGTCAAACTCAAACCGTCTTATGTGTCGATCAGGAACCTCCGAGAAACCCGAAATCACTTTTGCCCCCCTTGTCCCCGGCAGTAATTCCGCGGCATTGTTCCCTTGCTTACGACGCCAAATTGGATACCTCGTTGCAGCATTCCAGCCATTCTTCAAAATTCTTGACACCCCTTATCTTCTTTGTGGTCGGGTCGGGACTATAGGTCCACGCTTGCTCAAATTGCTCACTTTGTGGGGAAGCTTAATAACGGATGGCGACCCTGTTGGCTATATTATCGGCTGTTATGAACGGCTACCTCCAGCTTTCCAATGATGTATGAGGAGCCCCAGGTTGGCTTAGAGCTTTTCCGGGCTCACGGACGAACTTCTCGGCAAATATCTCCCAAGAGTGTGTTTCAGATTTGCCGAGGCGATTCGGGGAGTGTAAAAGTGGACCTCCAGCGGAGACGTCCGTTGGAATGGTACGGCGTTAGCGGTAGTTGGTCCATCGAAAAAGGTTTGGCTGCCTCCACTGCCATTTAGTCGTCTACCTTGGAGAGAACGTGCTCTTTATCCAGCTTGCTTGGTTTATTCAGTGTTGTGCAAGATAATGCTCGACGGCTGGACGCTGGTGTCGTCGTTCCTCGGCTTGCAATCCTGGCTGCAGAATCCTGATACTTTATGTTAGGTACTTTATGGCTTTTCGATCCAGACCTTCCCCAGCTCGGCACAGATTAATGGCTCTGGACAATAGCGAGGATTAGAGCCGTGATGACGTTGCCACAACATTTCTTGCAGCTACCTGATACCTTCGCTATCGTGATGTTCTACCCCCTTTCTCTGGGGGGTGAGGCTGACCGTTCAAATCTTCAAATCCTCCCAAGGAGCTGAACAAGATCCACTCACACCAATTCGCGCGTGGCTCTTGGGTGGTCATAGTCCACGGTCTCTCGAGACGCGGCTAAATTGAGATGAGTTAGGGCTAGCTGGAACATCATCCGGCCGTATCTCGTCCGAGTCAAACCGTGGTCCCTGTTACTTCTGCTTCTCGGATTTCCAGGGCACAGTCTACGGAGCACCCTACAGTCTCATGATGTGACAGTCTACGATGCACTGGGGACCCTCTTGAGAACGCCGTGACTGCCGGTGGGGATCTGCAATCTCCTGGAGGATAATCATATCCATGGTTATTCCTAAAATGGTCCCCGAGAGGAAAGGTCTCGGTCTCCATCCTTGCCGTAGCGGGAAATCGGATCGTAATAGACAATGAACAATGACCTATCGGGACTTTTGAAGGATCATCCGATGGAAACTGAGACTGGGAGTCCATCTGGGAGAAGCTCAGTCCGAGATTTTTAAAACCAGAACACCTGCCGTCGACTGGCCACAAGAGATAGGAGTGACGATCATTGTCCGATCTAGAATGGCCCACTCCCCGGCTAGGCTATCGAAAGGAGGAGAGGCACGCTGCAACAGACTCGAGTCAGCCCTTTCACCCCATGAGTAAGTAGCCTAATACTTCAATTTAACATCCTCGGAGATCGGAGATGTTGAGTGAGATAGAATAAGGTGCGGTCCAGGGAGTTCTAGCGCCGGAGAGCCAGCAGAAACAAGTAAAGCTGACTGGAATGTTCCCATCGTCAGGGGACTGTCTCAAAGTCTATCTGATTTAGTGTGACAGTCTTTGGCAGGTCTGACTGGGGCCCGGTAGATTCGGGTTGTCCTTGTCATCATCATCTCCGTCCCTTTTCGGTTTTTTTTTGTTTGATTCTGGTTCTATTCGTCTCGATAGCTTAAGCTGGAAGATGAGCTCTGGTGGTGGTGGTTGGTGGTGAGCGGCTCTTTTTGAGTAATTTTTGGATTTTGGATTTTGGATTTTTTTTATTAATCCCTCCCCCCTTGTTATAGAGAGAGAGAGAGAGAGAGAGAGAAGAATACAAAAGAAGCAGTAGAAGAAGCTTCAACCAAGTTCCGTCCGACAGAGGCAGAGAGAAGGACCTCCAGGCTGCCAGTGGGCTAGACACTAGACAGGCAACTTACCCCATCCGGCCGTTCCCTCCATTCAACCCATCCATCCATCCCTCCATCCCATCCCATCCCATCCCATCCCATCCCATCTGCTCTCCGCTTCCCGACTCTCACTCACACTCACACTCTTGTCTCTCGTTCTCAAGTGGCATCCATCCATTCATCATCTGGACTCTCATTCCCTCTCTTTCTCTCCCCTCTATTGTGCTGTATATTCTTCCTTGTTATTCGATCGTGTGCTCTATATACCTTGTTAATCCTTACGAGCACCTTGATTGATTCGTTCACCTCTTTCTCCTGTCGCTTTCCCCCGCTCCGGCCCTCCGCTGCTGAATCTCTCGGTTCCGCCAGCCACCAACCAAGAAAACAATCGACTTAGGCTTCTGATCGAATTATCAACGGCTATGCGGATCGATTATACTCGCTATATCCGTCCATAGGCTTGGAGCTGAGCTTGTACAGCTAATGCCAGCTCCAGTGACGTCGACCTGTTTGTCTACTTCGATGCTAAGACCGACATGGCCTCATCATACCCCCCCTCTCAGACCACCATGACGGGCTATATTCCTGGGTCTGTCTCGTTCGCAGAGGCCCAGTCGCATCACCAGCATAATCCCCTCGCGGCCTATTCAATCCTGGGCACCAACCACTACCCAGAGAGCGTCGCATATTGGCATAATCCCGCAGCGCAACCTCAACCGCCGCTTCCCGCCGCTTCCTATCCGTCGGCTCCCCCGAAACCGCAGTCATTGATGCAACCCACCCCCGATCCGAAGAAGCACAAGCGTACCCGCAGCGGCTGTTTTACTTGTCGATCCCGCCGTATAAAGTGCGATGAAACTCGCCCTATCTGTGACAGATGTCGGAAAGGAAACCGTGACTGTGTCTATCCTTCTACCAACACTCCGGGCGCGTCCAAGTCTGCCAGCGCCCGCGGCACCTCCAAGGCGCGCAGCAGCCAAGCTCGCGCAGCAGAGGGATCGACCAGTCCCCGGGAATTGGAGGACGTGCGTGCATTAGAGATCATAGCAGACGAAGAGGAGGAAGATGCGGATAGCGTGGGGTCCAGTGCGCATCTGTCTCCCACATTAACTCAAACCCCGGCGGTAGCAGCGCGACCCAAAGCCAATGTGTCCAAGAAACCAAATGCTCAGCCGTTAAGGCGCCGGAAAGGGAACTCCTCCGTTGCCTTGGACACCACACCCTTGCGTACCGAGACTAGCGCATCCCCTTCTCCCTCTACGGAGACCTCTTCGCACGTCGAGACTCTCAGCGCCCGGTCGGCCAGTCTGGGGGTTTATCCATTGGAGTCAGCAACCGGTCTGTTGGCTCTTGCTCATATCCCCGATGACTTGCGTTTCTACCTTCGCTACCACTGCGACTTTATCACATATCGACATTATTTCCTCCGGCCATCTAATGATATCTTTGTCCGACATTCTATAATCGAGTTGGCGTTGCAGTACGAACCACTTCTGTACGCCGTTGTCGGATTCGCGGCGTACCATCATTGCGTGCAGACTGGGACCGGTCGACTTTATTCGTTTCTGAAATACTATAATACTGCCTTGAAGCTTTTACGAAAATCCCTCGGCTCAGGTGAGCCGCACAATGAGGCCACGTTAGCCACCGTCCTAGTGCTCACTACCTTCGAGGTATGGCTCGTATTTGTCATAATCATTCCCTCACGGTCTGTCATGCTGATCCTATCTTTAGGAATTTATCGGAGACTGGGTCAACTTAATTGACCATCACCAGGCGGCCCATGCCTTGATGCGAGAACTCTTGACACCTGGTTCAATCAACACGAACGAGCTCCACCAACATATTTTTCTTTGGTATGCGCGCTTTGACGTAGTGGCGGGAATCCTGGCGGGTAACGAAGCGGTTTTGAGCCGGGAATGGTATGTTGCGAAAGAGGAATATGACGCTCAGCAGGCGGCAAATGACCCAGGCAATGTGGACAAGCAACTAGCTTGGGCCATGTCAATCAATCGTCGATTTGGACTAGAGATGGCCTCCTTGTATGCCAAACTGTCACGTGGCATGATCCCAATTGACGAGTTCATTGTGCAAAATGAGCTACTAGGACAGACTCTGGAGCGAATGAGGAGCATTCTGGTCCAATTTCAAGATTCCGAGTACACGGTTCGGGATTATCCTCATCGTGTACCATTGACTGAGGACGATGTTGTGGATCCATATGAGCCGGGCGGCATGCATTATGGCCCTCTGTGGGAGGTCAACGTCGTGTGGATTGATTACTTGTCCACCAAGACCATGTTCAAATATCAGTCGTTTCTGGCCCTACGTCAAACGTCAATCACCGAATTGGAGGAACTCTCCTTGGAACAGTGTCGACTAATGGAGTCAGTCGATCGTTGGCCAGGCAAGGAGAACGGTGCCATTATGGCGTTCAAAAACAGCATTGGCATGGCGGCTATGTTCCTCCCCAAGCAGGAGAAATATATCATGTGGGCGCGGCGGAAGTTCGCCTCGCTGGAACAACAGGGGTGAGTGATCTCTAGGGGTGGGATATTGATACGGTGCTGACGCAATTTTAGCTATGTTGTGGCAGCCCGATTCCGATCAGCAATGGCGGCAATCTGGCAACTGCCGGAAATTGACCGCTGGTGGCTTCCCAATGACGAGAATTATCCAGACCTTATTCGCGAGGTCCGCGCGATGACTGAAGAGCGCATCACGCATCCTCGCGATCACTTCCGGGAGGATGTGCGCGACATGAAAGCGTTGTTCTGGAATATCAGCCTAGATGATACGGAGAGTGATAATAGTCCGGTTTCAGTTCCCCATGCGGC